ATTCTCACCATTTTTCATCAGCGGGAAGTGCAAATTTTGCTTACTGCCCCCTAACCTTGCAAAGTTCACCAGTCAACCCTAATATAAAAACCATGGGTCATATTCCCAAAATCTGAATAAAGTGGGCTTATCTAGGGACTACCACCTGTCAATAGCCGGAAGATCATGGACATCGGCCCAGTGGAACGCTTAACAAAGCCATGCGAAGCGGGCCTTGGAGGATGCGAATAAGCGCCCTCCGGACCGGGGGTTGGGCCGCATGGACGCCAGGGAACATAGCCCACCAGTTATTATCTACAATTGAGTCATTTGACTTTTAACCAGCCAAATCGAATTGATACGCCTCCGCTAGGATAATCCCAAAGTCAGTTGTATCTAAAATTCGTTACGGAAACCGCGCAAACCGTGGCTTTGCGGCGAAGGAGAGAGGAAGAAGGCCCTTGTAAAGTTTTCCCGCGTTAATTAGTGGATGCACTCCCGCTTAGCGCGGAAATCTGTTTATAAAACGGTCGTGTTTCCGCTTACACCCTTGTTTCCGTCTGCGCGCCTGTTTCTGCCCCCGCGACGGCCCGCGCCGGCGGCTGTTGAAAAGTTAAAACACTGGAGTTCGCGTCGTGACTCCGGCTTCCGTGGCCCGGGTTCCGTCGGCGGAACGCGGCAAGGCGCGGAGCGGCGGGCAGAAACAATTTAGAAATCCTCCGGGAGAACTTTCGGACAAGGTTGCCTGCCTCCAACCAACCCTTCGTTTCCTTTCGTGGATTGTGCATTCACGTCGCACGATTCAACAACCTCGGACGTAGTGCGTCCCTTGCACGTGAGTTGACCTGATTGCATATTGATAGTAAGTAAAACTAGAAAAACACGTGCCTTAATTCGGTGTTTCCGAATTTCCGCTTTTTTCTTGAGGATCTGACTGAAACAGTGGTGTAAATCCAGCGGCGCACGGTGGATCGAGTCAACGGGAAAGTTTGGATATGAAATTTTAGATTAAAAACTTATGTTTATTACGTCACATTTTAAATTTTCAGGGGTGCTTTATGATGAAAATCTCACGAGGAAACCGATGAAACCGCTTTTAAAACCTCAAAATTTGATATAAACTGAGGTGCGAGCTTTTCAAGTTTCGGCATTTCATCCGACATTTCCAAGTGACTCGGTTCACTGTGCGGCGCTCGGCGAGTTGCACTGCGAGGACGCAAAGTAACCGAGCGCCTCTAATGGTGCTCTTGCATGTGTCAGGAATTTGCAATTTTAGTGATCGTTTTTACGTAAAATTTCGCAAGAGACATGATGTTGCCAGTGATTTCTCTGAAAAAATCTCCTAAACTCAAAAAAAGCTCTCAAAGTTGAGGCCATGATGGAGAGATATCCCACGTGTTACCCTGAAAGTTCACCTCTATATCAAGTCAAACTCTCCATGCAAAGATAGGGGGCAAATACATTAGCAGGGTTGCTACTTTGTTAGGGGACTCTAAAACTGAAAACACGGCAAACCTGCTATTGTAGGTATTTGCTCCCTATCCCAAGATAGCGTTGGATATAACCTCCATTACGGCCTTAACTTTGAGAGCTTTTATGAGCTTTAGAGTTTGTTTCAGAGAAAACCAGTAGAACCATCTCTTCGTTTTTACTAAGAAGACATCTACTGCGCACGAGTAGTTGCACACATGCGTAGGATGTGGATATCTTCAGTCGTTTTGAATCTTGGCAATACAGTCTGAGTCCGCGCCGCGCGCTGGTGAATCGGTAAGTACCTGGAGTGCCAAAACGCCTTCATTTCCGTGCGTATGCAACACGGACATCCGTGGAGCTCGCATAGTTGCATCCAGGCGTTTATAATGAAATTCGTTCAGTGCTAGTCGCATGCGATACTAACTGAGGACGCTTGGCTTGTTCATCTTACACCTCAACTTAATTTCAGCGTCATCCATTCTGCCGTGTTAAGGAAAAACGCCGTATGAACATTCGAGAGTTGCCAAATTTCCCTCGATAAAACATGTATTTTTAACGAAATACGTGCATATTTTTCATTGGAACTTTCAGATATTTTAGATAAAATTGCGTAAAAAATTGTGTGAAAATTTTGGAAACAAATATTCATAATTTTCTCAGTAAATTCGGCTTTTATTGAGGGAAATTTGACAACGCCTGAAGGTTCATACGGCATTTTTCCTTAGCGCGGCAGCACTGTATCGATGAAGTAAACTATGCCTAGATTTTATCGCGACATTGTCAATTTTCCGAAAAATGAATTGATAGTTAAGAAGAATAGTACAACGTTGACGGTCCTCAAAATCGCAAAAAATGTAGGTGTTGAGCGAGATTTGTATATTTTCCTTTTATGTACATTAATTAACATTCTCCCATGAGGTTATTGGGCTATGCATTTCTAACATTTGAGGTTTCTGCTTTTAGAAGTTTGCGGATCTGTCGAGTACCGTCCTTCTTATTAAACCAGTAAACTTTACAAATGGAGATGAAAATATAAGAATCAGAGCTTATTTGTCTCATATGGTGTTCTCAGAGACTAGTTTAAGGGTATTAAATACAATTTTGATTTTTGAAAAAAATCTGACTGATTGTGACGTTTTACAATACATTCTCCTATTATATTTTTAAGAAGGTAGATCAATATGAGACATCTGCCTGCAAAATTATTAGAGAATATTATCGGAAAATCATACAAAACATGGAACAGCAATGATTAGCCATTCATAAAAAAAAAATAAAAAAAATCCGATCGTAAATTTGCAACGTCATAAATCGGGATACGTAGCTCTGTATTGTCACCATCGATAGGTGCCATAATAATTTGAAGTCATAACTCAATTTTCAGTGTCGTAACACCGATTTCAATTTGTTTTAGGTGATAAAGTTTAATGTCATCTTCCAACATCAAACGGCTTTCATCGAAATCACATAAGAATGCCGCTTGACATGTTCATGAGATGGCCCCTTCATCTTCATTGGTATTTATGGCACAATAAACACCCTGAATGAGCACGGTATTTGCGGAATCTAATAAACTCTGCTTTTGTAAAATTGTGCGAGAAACATAATGCTGACACCGATTCTGTCTAAATCAACTCTCAAACTCATAAAATGGTCTGCTCGTCGATCCGTAATGGGCCAATATGTGCGATATTGAGGGGCTTGCCTCATTATTCACTCAATTCTCCTTGCACAGATAGGGCTAAAATACGTGTTGAACATACATTCGGGGTTAATTTTAGGTTTCATGACTACGCTTATCAAGAAATTCAACAGGAGCCTGTGCCACGTAGTATTCACACTGCATAATGAAAGTTCAAACAGGGCTAGTGTTTCAAGCTCTCGCACAATCTGCCTGAGAGTGTTCCAATCACAGCAACAGGGCTCCAGACAAGGTAGGAATTAAATCACCACGTCGTATGTTTCCTCCTCAAAATTTTACGAGAAAATCCAATCATACAACAGGAAGTCTTGAAATCAACTTCTAGGCAGGATACATAGGGAATGCGCAACATTGCGAGTGGTGCTACCTACTTCTTTTCTAATTTCAGCATTTAAGTAAACAACGTAAATATCGTAGTTTGATGGAAACTTTCTGGGTCCCTCTCACGTCTTGAGCTTCCAATGAAGGAAACTTACGTTGGTCTAACGCCTCAGTTGCGGGAAAAGTTTTGATTGTGTTTCCGCAGACAACTCAGAGAAAGAATTTAGGTCCTTTCAAGGTAAAATGAGTTCTAGAATTAAACTATTCTATCTTTTTCTGGTAACACAAACGTATGTATACGGATGAGCCGGATATTTTTGTCAAAACCCTTCACTAGTGATAAATTACTCCACACAATGAGAATATTCTGACTTTAATTAGAGAGAATCCTAAATCTGGATCCTGAAAGACGGTTTTACATTGGGTTTTCGTCCTTTTGTGGATAGGCATGCCTATGTGTTTTATTACACTAGAACAAGAGAGCACGAACATGTTCGTGCCTTCCTCATTTCTGATTTCTGATATTAAATAGATACCTCCTGGAATTGAGTAATAGATACATATATTTCCTTTGCCACGGAATCGAGACAATTGAAAGCAGTTCCTTGACATGAGGAACTTCTCCAGTGAAAATGAAGAAAAATTAATGGGAGAATCCACCTCAAGGAGTATAAAGTGTACATTCTTTAAAATTTTAAAAAGAAAAAAAAAATAAAGCCCTGTGTTACTCCGAGTCATCAAAATTTTGTCTCAGACACAACCATCGTTTTACTTAGAATTTCATTTATCCAAATTATACATTCAAGCCTCATGATATTAATAAAGATTCTAGAAAACTAGGTACAGATATCTGCTTGCATAACAACGCGTGTATCTTACAATATTGTATTTTAGCAGAGAAAAGCTAGCCGTTGGTTTTTTATTTGATTCCTGGAACTTCGCGTAGAGCTCGCGAGCGGGCTTGATCAAAGAGGATGGCCAATTCAGAAATTTCATCCAAATATTAATTTGAAAATATCAGGTAATGTTCTTATTTTAAAACAAAGTAAGAGGGGAAATTTTGGAAAGCTGCAATCAAGAAACTACGGATTTTTGCTTTCTACGTCGATATTAGATCTTATTTATGGGTGAAAAGGGATAACTTGCCCGCATCACCGCATCGTCAGAACCGCATATATTTAGATTATATCCTGCCAAGTTCGTTATCTTTTACTTTTTTAGGCCTCCTCCCACCCAAAATTAACTTGGAATTCGTCTGGCATGTAGAAAATCTGCAGCTCAACATCGAATCAATAGAAAGGTTTTCATCCGTGGAACGGTAATCATGCCCCACAATCATACGCATCACTGTGGCGGGTAAAAAATCTGGAAACGCCTCCATATCTCGCTGTATGCAACACGCACATCAACAGAGCAGATATATTTTGCAACTAGGGGTTGGTTACCAGCCACTTCGCATTTGTTCTGTTCAAAGTGTTTTAAACCCTCAAGAGGACATTGCCGAATATTAAAACATTGCACTTACCTTCACTTTCAAAAATTCACCTCAGAGGGCAAGAGATGACGTCTAATGAACGCCGGTAACTCGGCTGGTGAGAGATAATAAAACCGGGGTGAGCTTCACAAATTATAAACAATGTATGAATTTAATCAGAACAATGCGAAAAGGAGATGAAATTATTCGTGTGGAAAGGATAGTTAAGAACCGGACCGGGAGTTTTATGCCGTACAATTTCGTAAAATCTAGGTCAGCAATTCCATTTGCGCAATTTTTCAAAATGCCGTCACAGTGTACCTACACAGTTTGATTCTTCACATAAGGCGGATTTTTGAAGACATTATAAACATCAGAATAAGGTCTTGCTAAATAAATTTTCAACTGTACATAAGTTCTTGAATCACAAATGACGAAGTAACAATCGAAAAACTTGCATAAATAGAATATAGAAATATGCGGACACGAAATTTTTCCTTTCGGATAATGTTCTGTCTGCGTTACCCGAAGCCAGAATGCAGGTTCACAAGCGCTCTGTGCCAGTTAACCAAACCCGAACTTTCAAATCCTAGAAATTCGTTTTACGACTGACCCGAAAATGACCACCAAAAATCCGTAATTATTACGGTTCGCGGGTTATCGATAAGCAATAGTGCGACGCCAGAATACCGAAAAGACGGTAGGAAATATGCGCGTGTTGCCGATGGTGAAAATGAAGGCGCCGAAAAACCATCAAAATCGAATCGACTGTTTTTGACGCGTTTCCGTCGCAATTAACATTTCAAAGGAGGGTCGCGCAGCGCTGCATTAATCGGGTCGTCAATTCACAGAGAGAGATATACCGGTTGGGTGCGATGAAAGATTTTGTAGATAGGCGCGTGTCTGGCGTGTTGCCGATACGCCAGGCGAAACTTGGCGAAATGCGTGTTGCGTTCCTCGCGGTCGACTACCACCTGTGTGAGTTTACCGGATACACAGCGAGGGCGCCGCCCGGCGAAAAGGGGGGGGGGAGGTTAGCGTTCAAAAGCCGCGACGCGATGTTACGCCGACGCAACGACCCCCTGACACCCACGGACCATCCCCTAACAGACTGTGACGTCATCGTGGGGACTCCATTGAGGCAGGTTTCGAGTCCGTCGAATTGGGTCCAAAAAATAACGTGACCTCGATTCGTCTTTCTGCAACGTAAGAACGTAACTGAATTTAAATGTTGCAAATATTCCATTCGCAAATTATATTTTTACTTGGGAATTGTTAGGTTTTTCTAATTAAAAATTTAACTGATTTTTTATCAAATTCTGAAGAAAATTTTAAAAAAAATATCCGCCAAAATTTTTGACGGAAATCGCACTGTAATGTTCTAGTAAAAATTTTATTTTCGAGCTAATTTGGCAATCTTGGAATAGGTTACGCTCCTCCGTCTAAAGAGCGCCGTATAAACCTTTCGAAGTTCTTAAGGGCATGTTAAAAAATGGCTTTCCTCTGCCCCTTCTCAAAAACGCAGGGATTCCGTTCAATTTTGCAATCCCCAGAAAACCTCATGACGAGACAAACCTCTAAGCTTTGGCTTAAGTTCAAAGCTCATTTTGGCAATACGGCATGAAATTTTTGCATGTTTCTATTAGCAACGCTAATATTTTGAAGTCGGCCGTTTAAAAACAAAGTTTCATCGATTTTTTTTTTTTTTTCATTTTCCTGGGCACCTTTTCATCATTTAATGTTACTCTAGTATTAATACGGCTATTGACACTATGATTTAGCGAACAGCCTCGATACTGGGTTGCAAATATATACGGGTGTCTCAGACCACCCGTGCCAGGCTTTTACCTCGATTACTTTAATGCGGTTGACGTCTGGGAAAACGTCTGGTTGGAGCCATGAAAATCTAACTCTTAAAGTTCTTTCTTGATTCGACTCCTATGTCTCAAACATCATCTGACCTACAATAACCGGAAAAAAGCCTGGCACGGGTGGTCTGGGGCACGGTGTGTGAACTTTGCAACGCTATATCAAGACTGATCTCTACATCGCGTAATGTCAACAACAGTTTTAATTCCAAGTAACATCAACATTACTGATTAAATTGTGCCCCACTAAATGAGAAACAGTCGAATAAAGTTGATTTTTAACCGGAGAATTGAAAAATATAGCCACTTTAAACGGGTACTATTTATAATTTTATTTGTTAAACGACACTCAGGTGGTATAAGACACAGTCCCTCTTATACTAATATGTCTATCAACATGAGCAACGCGTTCAATATCGATAATAACGTCTTAATACAACTATTCGTACCTCATGAACACGCGTGTTGCATATGGAAAAATGGAAGGCGCCCCGGTCACTCTGGTCCACGAGGCAGCATGTGGCGCGCCGTTAAGAATGAGTGGCAATATGAAATTCGCTGATAAAAAGTAAGGCAAGACTGACGAGAGGATAGGAAAGGATACACGTCGTCACACCGAGTTGTGATAGCGTATCGCAGAGAGCACGCACTACTTCATGGGCTAGAAAGACTGGAGCGCCTTCAATTTTTTAGTATGCAACACGGATGTCCATAGAGCACGAATAGTTGCATCAGGGCGTTATTACTAATATCATATGCTCGGATATCATTATATACTGAAGTGTCCGCGAAAACGCAGAATGAGCAATCGAGCGTTGACAAATTTCCCCTGATTAAATACGAATTTCCTGGAATACTCGCAATTAATTATTTTTTAAATTTTTAGAGGTTTTACCACGGAATCTACCAAAGTAAGACTGAAGTTTCTCAATATACATCCTTGTCAAAATCGAACTGTTTACGGTAATTTTGCTATCTTGGAATGGATTTTCTTTCCTCTGTATGGGGAAATGACGACACAGAATAATTTTCTGACGGTATCAGCGAAAAAAGCAGCAATTATTGAATGTGTGAGTTCAGCAGAAGATGTGAACTTTGGACCATCGCCACCGAATGTCAGAAATTAATCTACAACATGTCCTCAGAAATCTTTTGGTCAATGTAAACAAGAAACGTTTGAAGGAGGGATTTTGCATGTTTACCGGATGGGAACCGATGCGATGTGTTTTTCGTTCTGTGATTCGTAAGCTGTCAATGCTTAAATACACGAATGAATATTTTTACAAATGTTGGAGTTCCGTTGAATTTTTTTCATTGGCTTTCACGGATGTATCAATGGCCAAAGTGCAAAACCACGCATGCAGTGTTTCAAAATTTCCGCACTTGCGAAATTTGCAATTTTTGCACGAGATTAGGGGAAAAAACAGTGTATTTTTCAGTTAGAAATTTTCAATATTCTCCTCTTAAAAAACAATTTGCCCGAGGAAATTTGGCAACTTTGATTTTTAGTTACGTCCTTTCGTGAGGGAAACGATGGCAAAACAACAAAAGCTAAATAAGTGCTTGATAAGTCGCTTTAATGTACAAAAGGAATCCCATCACTAGTACTTACAATTTTTCGAAAATTCATTTTTAAGAATTAAGTCATTCCTATAAATAAGTTAGCAGGTTAGATTACCTATAGCGCAAAGATTGCGTATTTTTGCGTAGCACCAACTTTCTTTCTAACTCCCGTGTTACAACTCCCTGAATACAGCTGTCTCAAACGTCCTCGTTTCAGCATTTTGATAGAGCGCTTCAAACCCGCTGAGCCTTGATTCCAGTTTTACGCTCGAAGTCATCGCACCCGTCGAAAATATTTACCGATTCACAGCGGTTGTTGATGCATCGTTGAGGTGCAGGGGAGTGGTACCAGGAAACAACGCAGTCGGAATCCGTCCAGCACTAAGAAATTGCAAACCAATCAAAATTAGGTCCGAACGGTCACGAAGTTAATAAAAAAATGTTTCATTTGCATGCGAGTTGTGCTACCTAGGAATTGTAAAAAGCTGGCAGATTAAACTGAAATTTCAGTTCAAGGCGTGACTCGAAATTGTATGAGTTCACCCCGAGTATATTCTGAGTGAGCTATGGAAAATTTATAAAAAGTTTCAAAGCTTTGTTGGCGACGGTTTCTGTCAAAACAGTGAAAAACGACATGAAACTATAGGCAACAAGAAATGCAGTTACTTGCGCTGCCGTGATAGCGAAGAGAGCAGTAGGTAAGTGCAAAAATGAAGTTTTCAGAAAACGGGCTACGAAGCCTCTGACCGGAAAATGTTATTGAAAGAAGCCTGCCTTCTTTATAAAACCGCCACTATTCATCCGAAAGACTCCTATAAATCGTTTGGATGATTAAAAATCGACCTATTTTGTTTCAATTACATAAAAAGGGTTTTTTTCATTCTAATGTTAGGCTAGTGTTGGGCAAGATAGCCGTAAGTGCAATCTTCTGCATGCTTATTCGTGGTTGCGCTTTGGACACACAACAAACACATATTATTCAAGTTAGAAATTGGCAGAGGAGGGCGGCACTGTACTTGAAAGCACTGTTTTTATTGGCTCTCTGGAGGAATAATATCACTTACTGCTGTCTTGCCTGAAACTACGTCGTTTTTGCGCACTTAAGGCTTTCTCATAGGTCTTTTTTTAAACAATTAAGATGAATTTTGCTGTTTTTGCTATAGTGATTTTATCTAAAAAAGATTAGGCGAATTTCGAAGGAAGCTCGATTTCGAAAATTTGACACTGACTGCTCTCTTCGCTATCACGGTAGTATGCTGATTCTGGTTTAATCAATCCAAATAATTGATCTTTTTAATCGAAGAGTTGACAGAGATAGATTATACTCGTAGATATATGTACTCCAATTGCAAATTTACAAATCTACAACCCTCCACTCATGTATTTTTTTTTCCAAAAGAAAACATATTTCCCTGAAATAATTATAATTTATTTTCAGAAAAATTTGAAGAGACACATTGGTAAAGTGTTCGTTACGGCCGATTTTATTTAACGGGAGAATTTGAAAGTCCATTTTTTAAAAAAAGATTTTCTTGAAACTATAAGAAACAAATACATTTTCTAAAGCCATATACATCCCACTGTCAGAATAATATCTTCGCCGACACTTAACGCACTTCTCTGAAAAAACGGTCCTTTAGGAACCCATTAGATTCTAATCAGGTTTCCATAGGCGCCCAGTGAGATTCACAAATTCCAGTAGGAACCAATGGGTAGTTTATGGCATCCGATAGGAACCTATGGGGACCCAATGGGATCCATGAAATTCCAATGAGTCCCAATGAGAACCATCATGAATTGCCGGTGGAGCCCGCACGATTTCCGATGGGAATTTCTCTACGGGTTCCTATGGGACAACCCTGGTAAAAATTGGCAGTAGACTCTGCGTTCCAAAATACCATAGACCTACAGCCGGCTGTAAGATTTCCAATAGCTTCTATAGCCGGCAACACAATTTCTTATAGCCCTCTATAGCCGATGGCGATTAAGCAACAGCCTGGCGATAAAGTGTATGCTAAACGTTACTAATTATTACGGATGCTAGGACTAAAGGAGTTTTTGGGCTACCGCTCTCTTTTTGGGCCGCAGTATCTTGATTTAATTTGCGAGGAAAGCTCCGTACTTTTGAAGGATGCCTGCCATTCCTAACATGTTGGAGCGCCTTCAATTTCGTATGATACTGTGCAATAAACCTCTGGTGTGAAATAGTTGCTTCAAGCGCCACGGTACGCTGCGGCCGCGGGCGGGCAGCCAGCGCTAAACGCGCATTGGCGCCTACAAACCTAACAGGATACTTCACGCATTGCGCAATGCGTGAAGTATCCCTGTTAGGTTTGTAGGCGCCAGTGCACCGCCGCTCCGCTTAATGTTAGGCTCTAATATTTAATCTCGTGGAGTCAGCGTTTTTCAACTCATGACTTTGAAATGTTTGCACACTCTATATAGATTATTCTCATTTTAATTGATGAAAAAAAATATGTAGTAAAGGAAAATATAATGTGCGTTTTGTAAATATTAAGGTGATTCCGTACAAACTTAAGGATTTACAAAGCAAAAGACTTTCTACACAATTTCTTATAGCCTTTTATAGCCGATGGCGAAAAAGCAACAGCCAGGCGATAATGTGTAAAGCCCGGCGATAGGAACTATAGCCCGGCTGTATAATTTTTTATCGCTTCGGTAGCCCGGCCGTATGATTTTTTCCACTTTCTACAGCCAGCTATATAATTTTCTATCGCCCTCTTCAGTCGGCTATAAGAACTCCTATGGTATTTTGAAACGCAGCTCCTATCGCCAATTGTTACCAGGGAATTTTACCAGGGTTTCGGGTCTTGTTCAATCGTAAAACGAGTTTTGTGGTCAGAAAACCGTGATTAATTGTAATTCTGGTGACGCTTTTCACTTTGCCTTTATTTTCGTGGTTATAACATTCACACACTGGGAGGAGTATTGGTATGTTCTTTGATTGATAAGTATTCTGCCGTGCTGTGAAAAAATGTCGCACGAGCCCTTAGACATCGCCAAATATCCCCCGATAAAAACCGACTTTACTGGGAAAATTGTGAGTAGTTTCCCCCAAAATATTCAAAAAATTAAGTACGCAATTCAATATAAAATATCCGAAAATTTCAAGGAAAAATATACATGAATGTTGTCCAAAACCCATGTTTTATCAAGGAAATTTGGCAACTCTCGAATTTTCTTAGGACGTTTTTCCTTAGAGCACAGCGGCAGTATTGTAAGCTGTATCGAAGGTACTAACACTACTTGTTCTAGTCGTAATAACTTACAGCTTTGGCGTATTGAGCACTCCCCTGGTATACTGAAATAGCCATAAAAAGAGCGAACATTAAACTTCGGTAGAAAAGCATTTTGCACTGGATTACTTCGTGATTAAGAATGCGACGTATACACCTTGATGTTTTCACTTCACTGTCAACAGCCATTCAAGAGTAGAGGAGATCGCACACGAGTGTGAAAAAGCGTTTTGTTTTTGTTTATGTATTTGACGATATATCAGCAACACTGAATTTTCCTTCCAAAAGAGGAGAAAAACAGCTTTGTTGTTTTTTTTTAGAGCCGTAGGGCGCCACAACACAGCTCCAGCAAAAAATCCAAGTTTGTCAGACTGTAGCGCCATACAACCGTTTCAGGACATTTCATCGACGATTTTTCGTCCACGCATCTTTTTGCGTCCCGTAATTTACTTCCACGCGAAAAACAGACGACAGTGACTTTTTCCAAGCGTCATATTTTAGTCCGTATGTAAAATTATATTCACAATATTGAAATGAGAAAATTGAGAGAGAAGGAGGTGTTGTAATGGTAACTCATTTTTTGAATGAAATGTTACTCTCCTCTTTTGCTTCATCTTTTCAAATTGTCATTGGTGAATATTTGCTTTTATTTCTATCCTTAAAATTTTCTATGTAAACTATACCTTACATATACCTTTCTTTTCTCTTTTTTTTAATGAAAATATTACTTCATTTTAAAAACATTTACAATTTTAAAACGTGGTAAATATTTGTAAAACTTTTTCCAAGCGATGGCATCGATATTAATTCTTGGTAATAAAATAAAGCCTTAGTTGTGTTGAAAGGAATAATACAAAAACGAATAAAATAAGAAAAAAACCAAGAAGCACGCAATCTTTCGACGATATAAGTCAGCAATCACTAAACTCGGTTTGCGACGTCGCAGTCCTGTCATACTTTATTTTTCAAACGGAGAACTACTCTACGGCAATTCTTTAAAACTGCCGTGATATATTTCTTCTCTGTACGAATAAAATTCTGCAAAAACTTCATGGAATAATGTCAATTTGTTCTCTTTTAAAAAAATAACATAGAGGTGGAGATTTTCAGACACCGCGAACAAGATATGTGATTCCGGACTTACGCCGTCGATTTGTAAATGGATCTTTTAGAGTCAAGTACGTCCAATTTATACGTGCGTCTATGGTTGCGCGTACACCACGCTGCAGCTCAGTAAAAGCACAACTCTTTTAAAAGAAAAAGTAAAGTGCTTTAAAAAGCATTAAATTTAACACAGAACCACCTTAATATTTACAAAACACACAGTATATTTTCCTTTCATACGTATTTTTTTTTTCGTCAATTTAAATGAGAACACTTAATCCATGCAGATAGTGCGAACATGTCAAAATCATGAGTTGAAAAGTGCTGACTCCGCGAGTTTAAATATTAGAGCCGAAGACAGAGCGCGGAGCAGCGTGCTGCCAGCGCGATACGCGCATTGGCGCCTACAAACCTAAGTGGATACTTCAAGCATTGCGCAATGCGTGAGGTATCCATTTAGGTTTGTAGGCGTCAGTGCGCGTATCGCGCTGGCAGCATGCTGCTCCGTTATGTTTTTGGCTCTAATCTTTAAACTCGCGGAGTCAGCACTTTTCAACTCATGATTTTGACATATGTATTCGCACTATCTGCATGGATTAAGTGTTCTCATTTAAATTGACGAAAAAAAAATACGTATGAAAGGAAAATATACTGTGTGTTTTGTAAATATTAAGGTGGTTCTGTGTCAAATTTAATGCTTTTTAAAGCACTTTAATTTTTTCTTTTAAAAGAGTTGTGCTTTTACTGAGCTGCAGCACGGTGTGCGCGCAACCTTATATATATAGACGCACGTATCAATTCGCGCTGGCCGCTGGCCCTATCATGCCTACCCCATTTCCCTACGAAAAAGTCCCGATAGTATATGCCTGATTGCCTGTCCAGGCCTGGCTAAAACTGCTTAAAATTTGATCTTCTACTTCTTTCTAAAAAAATTCCATGGGAGATCCAGACCCCCTGTTCTCTGGGGGGGGGGAGTCCCCCTAGACTCCCACTCTACATAACGACGGTGAAACTACCAAACCACGTATCTCGGTTTGCGACGTCGCAGACTTCCTGTCATACTTTATTTTTTAAATGAAAAACTACTTAACATCCAGTCTTGAAAATTTCTGTGATTTTTCCTCTTTGTGCGGAGAAAATTCCGTGAAAATTTCAAGGAATGATATTGATTTGGTCTATTTCAAAAAAATAAAATGTGAGCGTAGATTTTTAAACACCGCAAACGAGATACGTGGTTTGGTAGTTTCACCGTCGATAATCAAATAGCCCCTCCTCTTCAAGCTGTCTTTGGATCCACCACTATACCTAATAGTATTTTGCAAGGAAAATCTTGAAATAAAGCTGCAATAAAACTGAAATAACTTTACATCATTTGGTCAATAAATTAAGTATGCCAACTTTAAACGAGCAGCCAATCAAACAGAAGATAAGCAATATCGACGGTGAAACTACCAAACCACGTATCTCGTTTGCGGTGTTTAAAAATCTACGCTCACACTTTATTTGTTTGAAGTAGACCAAATCAATATCATTCCTTGAGATTTTTACGGAATTTTCTCCACACAAAGAGGAAAAATCACAGAAATTTTCAAGACTAGATGTTAAGTAGTTTTTCATTTAAAAAATAAAGTATGACAGGAAGTCTGCGACGTCGCAAACCGAGATATGTGGTTTGGTAGTTTCACCGTCGATATGCAATGGAAAGAAAATTTGCAACTAATTTCAACTGCATTACAACAAATTTCAATGAGAAGAGCCTCTTCAATCGGTAGGTAGGCAACATACATAAGAAACTGAAGCAGCAGTAATAATGATTGCAACTTGCGCTACTTGTTGCCGTGCTAAGTAAAAATGCCGTAGGCACATTCGAATGTTGCCAAATTTCCTCTTAGAAAATATTGATTTCTACAGAAAGTTACAAATATTTTTCCTTGAAATTTTCAGACTCTTTAGATCAAATCACGAGAAAAATCCTCTGAGTAAAAAAAAAAGAAATATGTAAGTAACAATTTTCCTGAAATTTTGTGATATGTTGAAGGAAGTTTGGCGACGCCTGATGGCTCATACGGCGTTCTCTCTGAGTACAGCAGCTTAGGACTTAAGAAGGGAGCGGCAATTTTAGAACACGACGATTGGAACTCATGAAAGTTACATTTTGCACCTTCGTTGCGCAGAATACTTACTGTTAAAAATGTTTTGATTGGCCATCGACATTCAATGGCCGAAACCACGAACCTACGTTTGCGACATTGCAGACTTCATGTCATGCTTTATTTTTATCGTTTTATGAATTTTATTTTTCCTTGGAAAACTAGGCCGTGTAGTTTCTTGAAAACCTCCGTAATTTTTCCTCTCTATCGGCGGAATTTTCTACATGAATTCCAAGCTATATAAAGTAGGCTAATCTGACCGCGTTAAGCGGAAAGGAACCAAGTCACATCAGCTACTGCCAAAAATTTGACAGTTTAATTTTTTACATGAAAACGATTGTGCGGATTTTTGTGCAAATAGTGAAATTTCTGCTTAGCACAAAGCAAATTCTTTAGAATTTAGGTACCTGCAAAGGAATCCGCACAAACGTTCTCTTGTAAAAAATTGAATGCCCAATTTTATGCAAGATCTGATGTAGTGATTGCATTGGTTCCTTTCTGCTAACCGCAGCCCAATTTTTCTTCAAGAAAATTAAATATGAGCGGATATTTTGAATCACCGCAATGAGGATACATGTTTTGGCACTTGAGACATCAATACACTGTATTTAGGGTATTTCATGGGAATGCTCTGAGAATACTTCGTGGAAGAGCACGGTATCAAATAATGGAAGTTCTTGCATTTTTATGGAGTAAGGAGATGTAAGGATCCCTCACGCCCGTCCCCCCTTCTTAGCCAAAAAAAAAATTAGTCATTTTTCCTTTTCAAGTGAAATTCTACGGAAAAAAACCCCAGAGCTCCTTTCCTCTCCTTATTTGTAGGAGTACTACAATAAATTCCTCCTCCTCATACTGGCATTTGAAGAACTTAAATTTATTCTCACAATGGACCACTAGACAAGGTACGAATTTCAGCACTCTGATACATGTTCCGTAACCAAAATTTCACGTAGAGCACGATGCGCACAATGAAAATTATCGAAATCAGCTCCTCACAACGATATGTAATGATTCTTGATGCGTGATTTCAAACCACCCGCTCATGAAAACTCAATGCTCTAGGTGATTCACATCGCGCGCTAAACGTTATCATGACAGTCTCTGCGCGATGTAAAAATCTGGCAACCTCAATCTTGACGCTTTGGCTCAGCTATAGCAAATTGCCTATAGTTCGAACAACACATGGTGGGAAATGAATATTGCTCGATTAAGAAACTTGCTGAGACCGTTGTCGTGCGCGATTTGACTCACGTACCTAGAGCTTTGAGTTTCTTGTAAGTGGGCAGCTCAAATTCCTCGTAACCAATATGAAATGAAAAGGTTAATATCTTCGTTAGGAGTTGGTTTCAGTAATTTTCGTTGCGCGAATCGTGTTCTACGTGAAATTTTGGTTAAGAAACATGTACCGGAATGCTTAAATTCGTACCTTGTCTAGTGATCCATTCACTGTCGTAGGCACTCTTGTATTGTCCATGGCCGGATTTACCTACTTGCCGCCCATGGGCCGCCTGTGTTTTGCCGCCCTCTTCTCATTCATTCTTTGAAACATCAATAAAAACCATCAAGTGAACGTGCCGGAGGGAGAAGGGTGCATAAGACGCGTCCACTCGTGTTGGACACATTTTTTGCGTAAGCCCTGTCAACACTACAAGCAAAAGTTCACGGAACTTCGAAAGAAAGTTCAGTTCCGTACACCTATCTCTGTGGTGACAAGGCCTTTCATTTGTAAGAAATGAACTAAAAAATTAAGAAAGAACAAACATAAATGTGGTTCAATAATTTTAACTTCCGCCGCCGTGCCGCGCTGACCACCTTGTGTTTGGCGCGATGCGTGAAGTATTCATGTAGTCTTGTAGGCGCTGTGCGTTTCACGCCGCGCCGACGGCTGTTGACCGTACTGTGTTTGACGCAATGCGTGAAGTATTCATGCAGTCTCGTAGGCGCTAATATGTGTTACATGCCGACCGCCGCGTCGAGGGCCTCTCCTTTTCATCTCAAGTCCTCGTCATCATTTCTCTTTGCGCCGCGCCGCTCCAAGCCAAATTACGTGTTTGGTTTCTCTCTTAACTCAACTGATTAAAGGTGCGCAGTCTTTTGTACCACCGAAATACGACAAAATTAGAAATTAATGAACTCTCAGGAAATGAGAGATTTTGTCACATTTTCTTGTTTGTAATTTTTTTCTGGATCAGATTTTTTTGTACCTGCATTTAAAAAAATTGCAAAATTTTCCGCCCCCTAATTTTGCCGCCATGGGTCGCGGCCCATGTGGCCACCCCCTTAATCCGGCCCTGCTCTTGTCTTCCTTTCCTTATTTCTTTCCTGATCACTTTCTGCTTTTCTGTAAAAATATCTTCCGCTTCGTCAGCGATTCCAAAAGATTTCAGGGTAAGTATTTAAAAAACTGTGGAAGCACTAGTTTAAAAAAGATGCCTGATATTGACAGGTTTTAAATTTTAATCAAGGTTCTGCATTAAGGATTGTCTTTATTTGGCCATACCAATGGCCAAAGTGCAGGAGCACGTACCTCCATGGCAATGTTTCAAAATTTCTACTCCTGTGTTATTTGTTCCACTAGAAACAAGCCACCTTCATTGCTTAAAATTAATACAGAATATTCTGCTGACGCCATCTCCTCAGCCTGGCTACATCATCGAAGCCTGCCAAATATATTTTTTAAACTGGTCCCATTTTTGGCATTTTCAAAACATAGTTTCTTTGCCATTTCAAGTTTAAATAAATCGAAAAAATTGCTAGAAGCTCAGTTCACACTGCATTTTCAAAAAATCAATTTTAAAAAATGGGTGCCATTGTAAAAGGAGGGCCGACTTTTAATTTTCATGGAAGAGGAAAAATTGACCTTTCTGAAAAATTTCACATATATCAACTGGCTTCAGCTACACAGCCTTGACAGCATTAGAATCACAATAAGTATAGCGATGGAATATTGATAGGAAGAATACACATGTTGGAATTTACAAACTTCTTTATTGTTTTCTCTTATAAAAAAGCACATAGAGAAAAGCCGATACAGGATGTTGTGTGAATACTTAATTACAAGTAAGGAGTTGCTTCTTGTTGCAAATATACAGATGCATTAGAATTTACTTACGCCTAAAAATATGATAAAAGTAAGTTAGCGATAATTAATTTAAATTGTTGAATCATCTTGTTACTGACAAATCAAACGGAATAATTTATCTTTAGGTGGGTATTTACAAGACTATGCACTGCTAGGTATGTCTCCACTGCATTTAATTTCTAATAAATAAATGAAAAAAAAATTAACCTAATCTTCAATTGACCTATGGCTTGAAGGTACATTATACATAACTGGGGCAAATAGTGAATATTACTTATTTATTACTTTTAAATACATTAATTACAATATTTTGAATGCCTCCAAAACCAGCACTAACAAAATAGAAACTGTGTTTATTATACAAAATTAGTGCACCACAGAAGCGATTTGATCAAAGTTAACTCACTATAGATACCCACAATGATAATGTGGACAATTCATCAATAATTAGATTTCATTTCATATCTCACAGTTTTATCAAACAACTGTTACTACGGACCCCTTGCAACTTGGGGCTTTATAAAAATAGCTTCAAAAGCTTGAATCAATAAGAAGCACCACAAACTCTTAGTAAACTGAAAAAGGTTTCCATACCTAAAAATTGCCTCCTTACAAAGCTAACAATGATCCTCTACTTAGAAAAGAGGAAACTAAAAACAGATCAATGATAGAATTTGCTAAAAATTGTGGGTAATAAACATGACTAAGTTCAGTTACTTCAGAGCCATTAGTGATGATCATATGTCTAGTACAGCCAAAACTGTATCATTTCTTTCAGTGCGATTGAAATTTAGTGACAAAAGATGATTTCTATCGAGTAGAGAGTTTCTTGTACTATAGTACTCGCCTAATTGTTTAATTTTTACCAACTTTGGTAGACATTTGTGCTGTCAAATGTATCATACTTGCAAGACAAAAACATTTTGCGATGAACCATGAAGGATGGTCCCCGATTGACCCTTAACAGATTTCAAATGGAGAGTTTTAAACAATAGATAATGCAGGAATAGATTAATAGCAAAGAGAAAGGTTGCCAGGACAAAAACCAAACCTTCGAAGAATCCAGATAATTACTCCGTTCAGATAGAAAATAACATTTTGGCCAAGAATAACCAGAAAAGCTCTATGTGTGACCTTCTGGATCAAGGTTAACCCATTTTTCTCTGAATTTATGAACAGTAAGAATAGTGACAGAGTGAAAATTTTTCCTTTTTATTTTGAAGGTGCTCATTATTCCATCACAATTTCAAAAAAAAAAAAAAAAATTAGAANGGGGGGGGGGGTAGAAAAATGTACATGATGAAACTAAAATATTCAGCCTGAAATACCTGTCTTAAAACGAAAGAAAAATTGAAAAAAATCTGGGAATCTTCCACCAACCAATGAGTATAACTTTAATAGCAGCAAAAAAAATTAGGTTCTACTTTTAAAAAGACCATCTTAAATTATGATAAAAATAATACATTACACATCACAGCTTACTTGTCTTCGAAGTACGTCTCTTCCTTAATAGTGCGCACGCACTCGACTTAGTTTGAAAACAATCCAATAAGTATTAAATAAAAGATTAAGTCTTGACTCTACTCAACAGGAAAAAATAGTATAATAGGTCTATTACAAAATAATTAAATTTGCAAGAGAAGCAACAAAAACATTCTCAGAGGCATGTTGCAGTTATCGCACAACAATTGTTAATTCAGGGGTTCCCAAATTTTGCGCAAGTGACTAAGCCCACTACCACAACCAAAGACAACTTAGAACAAAATATAACCATTGCTTATTTTCAGTAAATGTGGCAAGTACATAATGATTTAATACAAAATACATCTTTGTTGTGACAGATGTCTACTATGTTCCACAAGGTTTCTTTGATTAATAAGATAATAACTTTACAGATGGGACTCTGAGCGATGAAAAAGACCAAAATAAATAAAGAGGTCAAAAAAGTCTGGAATTCCATGAAACTAGGTAAAATAATAATAAAATGTTTAAAAAGTAGATGTAATTAAAAAGTTGACCCATAGCAAAATATTTAGCGTTGCCCCTTTTCTCCTACAAAAAAAGAGAGAAAAAGGATTGTAAAATCACTTATAACAAAATTGATCAGAATGTCGGTTGAATGCAGGTAGAGAGGACAAATTCGTTTCTGCCAAAGGGCCATTCATGAAATACATAACGCTGAAAATTTGAATTACTACTCCCCAACTGTGATGCCTCTCCCCCTTATGATGTAACTATAACCGTACCCCCTACAGCTATTACATAACGCTCAGCGTGACTTCCCTTTCTAGAGCCGTACATACTTTAAGAACAGCTCTTGGTTTGATAAAAAAAAAAAAAATGAATCCCTCGTTACGAGTAAATTTCAAAAGTTGAGAACTCGAAGTCCTGATCTAATTTTCATGACTTTGTGTCTGCTGCGACTTAAAAATGTTAAAAATTTCAAAATACTTCCACTGCTGAGTAGATGGTCAAAAAATAAAAAATAATATCTAAACTCATCTAAATTTACTATCAAAAAATTTAGTTTACATTGCACATTTTCAAAATATTATTACATGCATGTTACGCCTCCTTATTTACACCTTTTTTCAATGGAAATCGTACTATGATACTTAGCTGCTTTTTCCTTTTCTTGACCTCAAAATACAACAATCAGTCTGAAAGAATTTCTAAATGTAATAATTAGAGGAAAAGACTTTAGCAGCAATTTATTGGGCCCTTTGTATTGTATATTTGTAAATATGGCATGAACTTTGAAACTTACGAGAGGGATTATGCTTACTTTTAAGTCAGGCATTGAACTTAGCAAAAAAAATATTTGAAAAACATTCTCAGAAATAATGAGGATTGAAGGTTTGATTAACATTCCAGAAAAGAAAGCAAAAAAAATTTATCAGAACTGTAACTCTCATTTTCACAACTACCAAAGAGCAACAACATTAGTCAAACAACTCTGCAAGTTACAAATTTGTGATCGAAGTAACTCAGAATACTAGTTGCACTTTTTTAGATCTCAAAATCGTAATCATTTCATGCAACTGATGAGATTCCTCAAGGGCAAAAATCATTTCCAGATACAAAATCTTCTACAAACAGAACCTAACTCCGACAAAGTTAAAGTATTATTCGAAATTCCCTCGAGACTTTAACATAAAAATAATAAAATTCTCCTTATATAAAAAAGCTGGGAACTTCGACACTTACTCGAAAATCATAAACTAAGCAGACTTTGGAAAATTAAAAAATTCATGAGACACAACTCGACAGGGAAACTGCAGGGATGCGTACCTCCGTTTGCGAAAATTTCCTAACCTTTTTTATTTTCCAACGGAATAATACCCCACATCATCTCTTGAAAACTTTTCTGATTTTTCTTCTTGTTTGAGGGATATTCTGTAAAAGTTTCAAGGAATGGTATGGGTTTGTCCTGTTTTGATAAAATAAAATGAGAACGGACATTTTGAGGCACCACAAAAAAGAAACGCATAACTGCAGCTCCATCATCAATATGCTTTCTTCAAACCAAACTTTCAGTTCAGATTCTCGGGGTGTTGTTTTTACTGATAGATCAATCACAACAACTTAAACAAAAGCAGATCATCATGAATAAATCTAACGATACAGAGACAACACAAAGGTTAATGACTTTGCTTAATTAGTTGCTGTGATACCTACGATATTCTTGTCGCCATCCCGGTGAGCAATTTACATTGTCAACAAAGCTATATTGACTTCTTTCACCATCTTTATCCGATTTAACATTTTCACAAGAGATTTTTTGTCTAAAGCCATGGTTGAATACCAGACAGGACTATCAGGAACACAAGACCTTTCTGGCAGCAGGTAAAAAACGTCATTCCTTGTCTTCACACTTTCTGGGCTGTAACATGAGAAAAGTTTCATTACTTTGCGGATACAGCTATTTAAAAAATAAGATTATAGAAAACCTTAACTAAAACTGGTAAGGGTTGCTTCTTATAAGCCACCTTAGTTTGATCCTTCCACTCAGAAGCCAAAATGGCCGCTGTAATGTGACACAATAGGTCAGTGGCTTCTATTTTTTTTTTAAATTCATTTTCATCAAGTGCTGAGAGTTGAGATCCCAGATATTTCTTCAGATTTTTTGAACGGAAATTGTCGGAGAAAATGGATTTTGAAGTTGCCAAATCTGAACCCATTCGAAGTAAGATTTTTGGCAGTTTATCATGATATACGCAGGCGAGGTAGTCTCGTCCAGTAAAAGGTTGGCGAGAGGGAGTGGAGGGGGAGATCAGACGGTGTAATCTGCCCGATGATTTGTGGGAGGGTCGATTCCAATTGCTTTTCAAACGCTTTTCAAACGAAAGTGCTTTTTCAAACTTTTAAAATTGCTTTCTGGTTTTTTCATGAGAATTTACATTCAAATGAATAGTCGGATGCACCGCAAAAATGTTATGTCACTGATCCGATCCATTCCTCAAGGAAAGAACAGAGAACATAGATATTTCTTCTTACTTCATATTCCATATGATATTCCATCTATATACAACTTTCAGCAGCATATGCATATCTTTTGAAGAAAAAAACATATAGCAGTGTGCATTTCCTGAGCATATTATGAGGCAAAAAGTAAATTAAAGAATTTGCCGAAGCACATGATACTCTTTCTGACCCAATATTCTGTGTAGGAAAACTCCCTTCTGGGCTTTAAAAAAAGATTGCAACAACTCCAGTGAGGCAACAAAATACACAGGCGCAATTCACAATAACAGAGGGTTGCAATTGTGAAGATAGTTCCGATTAAAACGCATCAGGAATAAACATGAGGTTTTTTTAGTGATAAAAAAATCAACTATGAAGCAAAAAGAAGCTAATTCCTGAATTGAATGTTTTTGATGGATTTCACAATCAAAAGTAACTTATAAAGATGGAATAAAAGAACATAGACTCACCATTTGGATAGGTAAAATTCATATAATTTGACTGGACATCTCAATGGGTTCTCCTCATTTTCTTTCTGTTCATACATTTTCTTCTTCCGAGAATTGCCATCTAAATAATTAAAGTGGAGATACTTCATTAGAAAAGATTGCATAGCACTGAGATAAAATCAGATGAAGTGAAAGATCAACCATCGTTAATTTAGGATATGATTGCAAAGAAAAATTACAACACCTCTCTCCAATATTGATAAATTTGTATGAAAGCTGCTGATTAACAAATGATATGGTATCTATATTTGTAATAAACCGAAAGTAACGAAAACTTAATGAAACGAAACAAATGGGAAATTGAGGTAACAAACTTTCAGCTAAATACTTAATGAAAATATAGAAAGTCGAAACTAAGAAACTCACTCACAAAACTAATTTAAAATTGCCGACACATTTCGGAGCTTCCCGGCCCTTTCTTCAAGGCCTTATTCCAACTGTTGGAAATTATCAGTTGCAAGTCGGCAGTCGGAATTTAGCCTTGAAGAAGGGGCCGAGGAGCTCCGAAACGCGTCGGCAATTTTAAAATAGTTTTGTGAGTTTTGAGTTTTTTGGTTTTGACTTTCTTTATTTTCATCTATACCTGTGTTAGTGCATCTACTCTAGATGTCTGTGGATAACTTGCATCCAAAATAATTCTCTCGAATAATGTGCACCAAGATTTTGGCGACAAGAGATAGACATATTTGTTCAGGTTTCCTGAGGGTGTCGGCAGTAAATTAATCATGAAGTCGGTAATTATAATATTTCACCAACTAAAATGCTCTATAGCTGATATGCAATTGTATCTTGTTGTACTGTTTCTTGAAATGTAGTTTTTCTGGAGACACCGTTTCCTTATTTTTTTTTCAAGCTCTGCCCAGTCGTATTTCATGATAGTGTTTTTAGAAATGACGTTATCTCTTATAGGTCTCTTCTATCATAGCTAATTTTTCCTTCTCTTCCTTCATAATTTCATGTTTCTTGCAATATCACATTAGCGGCATGGAATCCCAGTGCTTGGTTTATTATTCATTGTTGTAATATTTTATTTAATCTACCTTGATGATGGCTATTAGCCAAAAAACTTCAGTATATTTCTGTATGGTGATACTGTAGTATAAAAAATTGTTTAACCTAAGAGCATCTAACGCAATGCTTGTGTTCTTCTTAATTAGTATGATGCTAATAGACGAGCTCAACTTTGATCGAAACAGAATGAAAAAGAACTGATACTGAATTTTAATTATCCTTGTAATGAAAATTACATTCAAGCCTTTGAATCTCCTGACCCATTTGTCAGGTAATCCGTGGGAGAATTCACACTTCTTTCTACAGGCAATATTGATCATCATTCAAAGGTGCTTACCCAAAGAGGATTGCGGCGGATAGAATCTTAATAAAACATTTCGATTTGCTGCAGGTTGATGTTTGCTCGTAGCTGGAACTGCAGCACCTCCAGATCTTTTCCAGTGTTTCATGATGTGTGCAAAAGATAGTTGATTGTGCTCATCAACAGTCTGTGAAAATAAATAAGTTGGTATACAACCTGAACCATTTATACATGCATACACTAGGGGGATACATCCCCTGGACGCTGCACAGCCTGATCCCATGAAGCAATCGGCGCCATCGAAAGGCCATTTCGCTGCCCTTTATTTGTAGTTGCAGCGTTAATGAGATTTATATTTTCATGATAATATTTGCTAAACAAATCTCCACAAAACTTTCATGACAGGAGTAGTAAGAACCTAATGAACTGATCCAGATGCAACATTGCAAAGTTTCAACTAAGGAATTATTATATTACTCAAGGACAATCCCAAAATTTTATAGGATTAATTATAATATAGATCGATCAATGAACCATGTTGCAGTATGACAATAACAGGAGATTCACAGATGATTGTACAGTGAATCGAGAGGCCAGAATCGAAATCTCCAAGTTACGTGTTACAGTATCCCCCAGACTAGACCTGTTAACAAGATAGGGGTCAAGCACATTGGGTTGGAGCCCTATAAAGGGTGGTTATTTCTCCCTTTGGCACGTATACAAAAGTAGTCCTGCTAAGGATGAAAATACAAAGTTTTGACTTACAGGTGGAAACTATTGCTACCGTAGAGAAAACATAGGGAGTGGTAGCGAGAGAAGAAATGAATAATTCTGTACCAGGAAGCAAACGCAGGTCTATTGGAAGTTGTTTTAGCATTGGGTCATATTAACATGAAGCTGTAGTCACTGGCTGATAGGTTGATGGAAATGTACTTAAAGACTAAATCTGAAGGGGGCTGCCTTGCCACTATTTCTTATATGATGATACATGGACATATGCATTCTAGCCTAAATTCTTTGAGAGTCAAAAAGACTTGTACATTACTTACCGCCAAATTGAAGTGTTTTGTGTTGAAGAACATGAGAGTGTTAAGCAACACATGAGGCGAGTGAGCACCTAACTGTTTACTTTCCCAAAGATGTTCCTCTTCTATGCGTGTAACGATTTGTCCTAGAATTACGTCAAATAATTATATGAGAAAAGAAAGTAAACAAATTCTAACGGTAGTTAGTTACAGGGGAAGCATTGTAATTTTTTTGCAAACAATAACAACTACGACTTCATTCTACGACTACATACTTCCTAAAAATAACAAATTATGCTACAGCAAAAGCGCTGAGATTCAATGGAAGCAGTCTGAATGAGTAAGCAATAGGATGGTTCCTCTCCACCTTTTCGATGTGATAGTGAATGAAAACTTTTGAAAGTTTTAATGGCTATATGTCAGTGGCATGGCGTGAATTGCGATGTATCGATTCTTATGCCATTTAAACCTATGGAAAAGGATCGATAAACAGGGTGTTCGCAGCGAGCACCTTAATAATCGATTCTTCACAATAGGTATGAATGGCATAACAATCGATACATCGCAATTCACGCCACGCCACTGCTATATGTGGTAAATACAAAGTAGCACACAGTAGGTGCAAGAGTAAGTTAGAGTCAAAACAGCAGCCTGATTGTTGAAACTTTAATTGGCTTTGTCGGCAAGATGATACAAGATATAGCCCTATCTGCGCTAGGTAATATATAAATTTTCGATTCTTGTCCTGCGGACATAAATTTCAACTATCAGGCTGCAGCAGAGCAAAACTTTGTTAGCTCCAGTTGGGCAGAGTTATGCAAAATAGTCTGAGTAGGTCATAGTATAACTAAGAAATTAAATCCAAATAGGTACAATGACCCAAATGGCATCAAACTGAACAAAACAGAAACAGAACAATGCAAAAAAAATACATGAATCCAATGCAAACTTACTTGTGCCATCATACATTGATGAGAATTTAATTCCGATTTCATCCAGTCGATCGGTGAACCCTTCATAAAACGGATCCGTGAACAAATTATCAACTCGCCCATTTTCGTAGAGATAGTGCTGGATACCAAGACAGAAGTAAAAAAGAGTATCTGGTGCATACTCTGTTCCGTTGGGCTTCTTGACTTCTTTCAAGAAAAGGCAGAGAGTGTAGCTCAGCTCATCGGGTGTCAACTTAAGGAGATCTGTTTTGAAAAGGACCGGTTTTCTCCCAGTTTTTGCACACGATCTCTCTAGCTCTGTGTTTTTCATCATGATCCACTGTCGCCAGGCATTCACACCATAGGTGTACTGAAAAAATCAGATGGTAAGAAGGAATTAGAGTTTGGTGGATCATGTATTGGACTTTTGAAATCATTGGGGCTGTTTCATTGATTAACTCAAACAACTGGATACTAGCTGATTATAACATGTTGTATGGAGCATTAAGGCTCCATCGGGAATAACTGCGCTGTAAAAGCGATTGTACAAGAAACTAAGCACACGAGGTTGGTTACCTACCATTTAACAAACAAGCTGCCTGGTCCAGATTATCAATATTCTATAGTTAAAATTTTTGATCTGAATATAGATGACTGTCACTTGGTAGTAAGGTGATAATAATAATGCGGACTGCGCTTCGCAAAAATGAACCAAGACACATCAGCTATTGCCAAACGGGGCAATTCAATTTTTAACAAGACACGTTTGTGCGGATTCCTTCGAAAATTTCAAGGAGTTTGCATTATACTATGCAGAAAATGCACTGAAATTTGCAAAAATATTGGCACAATCGTTTTCATGTGAAAAATTAAATTACCCTTTTAAATTTGGCAATAGCTGATGCGGCTTGCTTCCTTTCTGCTTATTACGGTCCATACAGGATTCACAGTGAAAATCAACATGATCAATACTCCATCAAAAGACAAAAAGATTCAAATCATGGTTGAATTTTTACAGCATCTGATAAATAAATATTAAAGAATCATAGGCCAATCAAGGAAAATTGAACATACTTGAATCATAACTTCATTTATCACAAGTTTGATGTAATAGGGTTTAGATTACCTGGTTTACCCCGATGGTGCCTTGGGGCCAAATAAGGAGAATGAGAAAAAAAGAGTGTGAAGCAAATCCCTTACCGACTGTTTGAATAAGGAAGAAAAAAATAAATTTCACAGGTAAAAGTAAGATTGGTCCAACTTTGAGATGAAGTAAAACAGTATTGAATTATTAAAACTCACTTTGAGGTTCATATTGGCATCAGGCCGAATTATTTCTAGTGGTGGGGACGGTGGAGCGGGAGAATCCTGGCCATCTTGCGATCGCCTAATCCGCTTCATACCAATACTTTCAGCCCCATAACCAGAGGTAGAAGTTCTTTTTCTGGCTGCTTTTTTCATGATTGGAGGGCTTGGCGGATCGATATCGCGGCTCTGCTCACTTGGCGGCCGCTCGGTGGGTACTATGGTTGATGGTTTAAGGGTGTCTTCTATATCTGCTAGATCGTCTAGGTGCGGTGCTTTACAGCTTATACTTGATTTGACGCTTACGGTAGGAGATTGATTGCCAGCTGAAGAGAGTGCCCTTGCATCATCTTCAGATTCGTTATGCAAGCTTACATCTGAAACAAGTGTAACTCAATACTTCAGTAAAAATGTTTGTGTGAACGTTTTTGACTTATTTTTTAAAAAAATGGACAAGACACTTTCACAAGTATAAATTATATTGTTTGTCTTATTCAAAATGCAAAACAACGTATCTTTGTAGGCGACATTGCAGACTTCCTGTCTTACTTTATTTATTTATTTATTTATTTATTTATTTATTTTTTTTTTTTCGAAAACTAGTCAATATAATTTCTTGAATAACTTACTTGATTTTTCCTCACTATTGGGAGCATATATTCTTTATAAATTTCAAGCTATAAAATTGGCTTGTTTTTTTTTTTTTTCGAAAAAACAAAATAGGTGCTAATATTTTGAAACATTACAATGGAGGTACAGGATTTTGCACTTCGGCTATAAATGATTGCTACACCAACATATGATCGGAACAATCTTTTAATTTGCTCATGCATTTTCTAGAAGTGCTAGATCTTCTCCTACAATAATTTTAAGTACTAGCAAGTATTTTTTTGTTAAATTCTTAGAGCACAAACATTTTCCAGAGAAAAAAAATTGGAGGGAAGAAAAAGTTAAAAACAAATTAAGTGCATACGAGCATTTTGAGTAGTTTCATAAACCGCACTTTCAGAAAATGTACTGCACTTATTAAATGATCTTTCATGATTTATGATTTAACAAAGGTACCTAAAAGGTCCCGTAAAGGGATGGCGGCAGGGCATTGACGAAGAGATGTTGTGATGTCAGTTGCCGGATAATCTCTGGGAGGATAGGCATATGTGGCGTTAGGGTGTCACAGATTGTCAGCGTGCGTTTTAGGAGCGACTTTATATATATGCCTACCCAAAAAGGTTCCAAGAATACTAAACCTTAGATAACTTGATATTAAAGCTATTCATTTATTCACTCGGTGGCTTATTTTATAAGTGCATTTTTGCAACCATTATCTTAATACTTTTTGGACCCAATCTTCAGAGACTAGGACTAAGAGCGATGTGCTCAACTGAGATAGAAACTGAGAATAGAATGATTGGAAGCAAATTTCATACCTGCACCAAGGTCACCTCCCACATCATCATCTTCATCTGAGCTGCTCGTTACATCTTCTTTCTTTTCTCCCGCGACCATTTCTGCCATCATCAATAGCTCTGCTTCAAAAGGATCTTGCGGAATTTTCTTTTGAATTTTCTAAAAACAAAAAAAAAGTTAATGCTCTCTTCCTTACAATAAAAAAAAAACTCTGATCCATGACTGCTGAAATCATAGGATTCAGCGTCTTGTATAAAATTATAATAGAAATATAGGATGGTTATAAGAGATTACATAGCTTTGCAATCAATCACAAGTGACAGCTTGGAAACCACAAAAGAAAATTTGTATCGAGAGCTTTTTTCCAGGGATCCTTGAAATTTAAAATTGTTGACTGAAGTCAGAAACTGCGTACCTCAGATTTTGACATTATAAGTCTTCGCTGAGGTATTATTTTTTTAAAGGAAAACTAAACTACAGCTTTTATTGAAATTTTTTGTGAATTTCCTTCACTTGTTCTGCAAAATCACACAAAATTGCAAGGAAGAGTTTTGTTTGGTTTCTCTACAGTAAAATCAAACATAATCGGAGATTTTTAAACATTGCAATAGGGATACGTATTTTTCCCATGTTACTATCAAAACGCTACTTACAAGGAAAGAAAACTGAAAGTTTCTCAAAAGGTACGCATTGTTGGTGCGACATGAACCATGCTTTTTAACAAATATACTTTAATTGTTTAGTCTAGCTTGGGAATACCTCGGCTGTTTCTTCAAAATAAAATCTTTTCTTGTGACGTTACTTGTATTATATTGGATTCATAGCTTCAGGCCGATAAGCATACGATACTACTTTTACACACTTTCATCTCTACACTTATGATGACTACAACTTTAACTCCCTTTTTACTGGTCAAAAAAGCTTTTTAGGTTCAGAAACACATTTCTCCCTAAAATTGACCCTAGGTAAACCTCTTTGCACGGGAAATCCTGAATCATGCTAGAGCCCCATTTGATAGAGGTGACTAACCTTGATTTGCTTCATGATTCCTTTGGCTGAATTTCTGGTTGTAGGAATGAATATAGGAACAGGGATTGGTATAGGGATTGGCATTGCAAAAGGCACCGGTAATTTGTACATGGCGCAAGGGAGAGGTACGTATATGGGTACGGGAATAGGCAGGAGAACCTGTTGCGGTTTGTCTTCTGTAAAACAGAGGAGAAAAATTACATATTCAGTAAGATAAAAATGAGAGAGTAACACTATAAAACTGACAATTAGAAAGCTGAACTGCAAGTTGGCATTAACTCATTAGAATTAAAATTAGATAACAGTTGTTGACGGAGTCCTCAATTTAAGGATGCAGAGTATCTGGTAAAAATTGTTTATCAGATCGACGATTGCCAATTGCACTGCACATCAAAATATGAGAAAATTTGTTGACAACTCTTACTTCAGTGCGCAATACACGCACAATTTAATTATTAGGTTTGCAAGTTTAATTTTTTTCTTCTTCTATTCTTCAGTGGACAGTATATTTGGTAAATATCCTTTTGGAGGCATAATTTCAACAATTTAAAAAAAATCAACTCTTTTTACCTGAGCTATGAGGACCGCATTAAGCAGGTCGAGACCAACTCTTATTATCTGTCGCAAAATTTCATCAGACAATATATTTTCTTATAGGAGAACTGTAATGTAGATTCTTTGGGAAATGGCAGGGGATTACCTCTGTGATAGGAAGAAATTCCCTGAATCTGTACAACCTTCCTCTCATAAAAAAAATGTATTGTATGATAAAATTTGAGAATGGTTGATGTGACTGGGTTCCTTTTTGCTTAAAGTGGTCCATGTAAAATGTTTCTTATTTCCCCTTTTTCCTTTTTCATCCAAAGAAGCATTACAAAACTAAATACTTAACTCTTCTTCTGCGTGTAAAATTTAAAAGGCCAGCCACAAGTAAATGGCTTACTTGAAAAAAAGCTTAACGCTTAGATTTTTTAAAATGAAATTTTTTACACAAAAATATTCTTCAGACACCTTTAGTTCACTTTAAATAGTTTTTAAAAAAAGAAGGAAAAAATTTTTCTCAGAGGTATTCGGATTTTTTGGGGAATCGATCATTTTGTGAAAAAGTACTTTTTGCGGAAATTTAACTGCACTTAATAGTTTCCTGAAAATTTTTTATTAAATAGTTTGGTTCTTTTCAAAACAAGACATTTAATGGCTAACTGCTCTTGCCATTTATAGAGCACTGTGGAGAGTAAGAATACTTTCTTGCCTTACTTTTTTAAATTTTGTGATGTACATGATTTATGTTGCAGTGTCCTTGGAATTTAAAAATACTTTTGATGAAATTTGCTCTATAAGAATTTTCTATGGTTCTTTGTTGCCTCAGAGTTGAATTAGAATTTATTATTTTTGGTCAACTAATATGAGCAGCACTTACCCTCAGTCTGTGTGGACTTCGTTGTCATGAAAGGTTTACAGGAAACGCCTTTTGTGTTGTGAGATGGCCTACACTGAATAATTTTATTACAAACAGGCTTGGGGATTGGCGGTCGCATTACGATCTGTTGTATCACACCTGTCTTGGGGGTATGACTGTTAGCTTTTGGACCATTTGCTTGAGCCAGAGAAGTTACTGTGGAGATAACTGGTACGCTGTCTACACTTGTTGATACTGATTTCCTGCAACAATGATTCAGCACAATTCTCGTTATTTCAATTTTTACTGAATTGAGTGCATAAACAAACAATCGTAATACAAATTTTCTGTCATCCATTAGATTAAAAGTTTAATGACATAATACATTTCAAAACTAGGAGATAATGAGCGGAAAACTTCTTGTTGGTATTTCATCCTCTCAATTTTATGAGATGCTTTTAAAGCAACTTTGATTTTACAGACAATGAGCAGAAAATAGATTTCAATTCACTTCAGTAGACATAATGATGGCAGAAATGCATATCTCTGTTTGCGGCACTGCTGACTTCCTGTGACTCTCTGTTTTCTGCATGCAAAACTACCTAACATTATTACTTGAAAACTAATGTGATTTAACTTCACTACAAGAAGAATATTCCATTGAAATTTCAAGCCATGATGTTGGTTTGGTTATCTTTCAAAAAGTAAAATAGGAGCAGGGATTTCAAAACACTGCAATAGAGATAAACGTTTTTGCAGTTTCACCATCCATAATTATCAAAGTCAGCATTTTTGAGGAGCTGCAACATTCTGATACACTTTTTTTTAATTCATTTGTAGGTAAATAATTTTATTTTACTGAATAGTTAAAAAATAATGAAGTTATGACCTTCACAGTATGAAATGCTATACAACACTGTAACAACCAACACATTGAAATTTTAAAATTATTGATTCTTGTCACTCACATAAAAAAAATTTGGAATCTTTGAAGAATGAGGATTCAGGTACAATGAGTTCCATTTAAAAACATACGCAGAAAGCAATAAAATAATGAATTCAAGCTGTACTTACTTTGCCGAGACTTTTTTGGGACCACCTACAGGATATACTTTATGGTGCGAAGCTTTACTTTGAGCTTGGAAGTTCATCACACAAACTAAAGTACAAAAGCTACGTAAGGAGCCATCCGACATATTCAGATTGTACTGTACAGGCCTTGACAATCCACAATGATCACAATTAGTAGACCGAGAGGTTGGGCTAGATTTCTGGTAGTTAGCTAAGCAATTCAGCGAACAAGCAAAGACAGCTGTTCCGTTGCTAAGCACACGCTTGATCATATCAAAGTTGTACTTTTTAACCTAAAACAAGACAGATTCGGTGAGTGAGAACAGAGAAAAAAACAAAAGATTCTGAAAAATACAAAGTAATATGTTGAAGGTGCAAATCGTCACCTTCCAGCCAAAGTTATAACAAGCGTCATTTATGTTCCAATGTTATATTGCCAGACATTTCAATATCATTCTAATTTTTTCTTTGACATTTTTTTACATACTTTCATAAAAGTTTCAAGGATTAATCTTAACATAAAAAAATTTTGAGGCAAAGTTTTTTGATGATTCACAATTCATTCGTTTTTCCCTAAGAAATTTAAGAAGTTTAATGAGTTTGGCAACTTAAAGTACCTGACCACAAATTGCAGGTGTGATACTTTGGCAGGAGGGTAGCGAGATAAATTTGGAAATCACAACGGTGTTGCAATCCTGATCATCGGGTTCTTCCCCTTTTTTCAAAGAAATTTTTTCGTATGATATTGAAGAATTTTTTGCAGTGAATTAACTTGATTCTTTCTTTTTTGGTACATAAAAGTACCTTTTCCCATCAAACTGAATATGTTAGAGAAAAATTTGCTTTCTCTGGAGAACAGTTAAGCTGATATGATAATTACCTTGCACGTGTTACACAAAATGATTCTCCTTTTCCCTAGAATGTAGACATTCATACACGTTTTTGAGCAGAACGTGTGAAGCTCATCTTCATAAAAGATCACATGACTCTTCCTATTGTGATAGTATTTACGACACATGTCACATTTTTCTGAAACAAGCCAACAAATGAATATTATTTTGAACATAAGGTATATTATCGTAAACTTAAAAAATAATATGCCACACATGAATTTGACTATTTTTTTGCATAATATGTTCAAACTGGTGTCTCCAAGCAACCAAAATAAAAGTTGTCGTATTAGGCTTCTTGAAAAAGAGAGGCTCAAGGAAATGTTGAGAAAAAAAGGCTTACTTGGCCAGCTTTTAGCTGCTGCAAATTTTGGCGAGGAGTTTGCAAGGACAAGGGATGTGCCAACATTTGCATCCAATGTAAAACGAAAGTTCAGAGTGATTTTCTGATCAAAAATTAAAAAAATGAGAGTACTTTTAGAGGTTGTTTTTTTTTGTTTATTTTTCAGAAAAGGTATTTAGGTAAAAAAACAAAAAAAGAACTGAAGAAATTAATGCTTTGCAGATTGACTTTAAAAAAAGAGACACCAAAAACACAATCGATTTTTGACCTTCGTTAAAAATGTGGGGACAAAAAAGTGTAGGATTAACAGTGTAAAAGTGTATGATTTTATGGAATACTTACCACATTCAACAGAATTGGCGAATTTAAAAGCTGCAAAACAAACTTCACTGCAAAGTTTGGTCTCTTTGTTGTTCAACCGCACTTTGACTTTTACAACATTATCATGATTACAAACAGTACATTTCTGCCTTTCAGTTGGTTCAGGAAGATTATTGCTTATAGTTTCATACAGATGCATGCATTGCTGTGTGCAGAAGTCCTGAAAGAAAGAGGAGTTATGATGTCATGTAGGGCTGAAAACGTTACTTGTAAAATGAAAAGTGACTACGATGTAATTACCTAATTTACAATTCTGTAGCAGAAAATCATTTTGCTTTGGAATGTAATCACTGCTAAAACAACTGTCACGAATGGGAGCATTTGTGCTGCTATTAATACGCTTAATTTCCTGAGTTTTAAAAACTTTTCCCTTAAAAATTTAATAAAAATATGACGAAAATTTACTTAAACTCCGTAGTACAGAAAAAAATTTATCAATGACCACAGATTCAATTTCTCTAAACCAGAGTATAACAAAGCAGAGCCATGAAAAGTTTAAATACAACAAGAAAAGTATAGAGTTTCCACAAATACTGCTTACCTTAAATTGGCCTTTGTCACCAACAGGTGCTAGAAATCCTTCAGGTCCTGATGATATGTCTTTTTGACAATAACTGCAAACTTTCAAACCTTTCTTAAATTCTTCCAAACATTGACTGCGACAAAACTGATTGATATCCGTGCCAAATCTGACGCAATACTTGCCAAGACTTGCCTGTTGAACGTCACCCTTACAATTGGCACAATACTTTCCCAGTTTGGTAAGATAAGAACCTGTGAAAGTGTATTGAGTGAAAAACCAAATAATTAATGAAATATCTGATTGTATTACAAACCCTCAAATGAAAAAGTGATGTGAGATAAGAATAGAGGAAATAGTAAAAATAAAAATGGAAAGTCACAAACAACAGAGAAGATACAAAACTTAGACCAGGGATCAGTCAACTTGTATTAGTTGGTCACTATACTGACCATGTCAATGGCCGAAGTGCGAGACCATGTATCTTCGTTTAAGACGTTGCAGATTCCTGTCATGCTTTATTTTTCTTAGGAAAATTAGTCAACTTATGATCACTCAATCTTATGACTGTTAAAAGATGGGACTTTTCAATTTGATCTTAAATACATGAATCAATAAATAGATAAACAATTCGTCTTACAGAATGAAAAATTCAATATTTAGCAAGCCTAAATGTATAACAGTAACTCACCTAGGCAGGCTTCATCGCAGAATTCCATTGTCTCCCAGAACAATGTGGCTTCGCTCATGATTAATCGTTTTTTGCATTCGGCACATTTTCTTACAAAATTTTCTCTACTGACCATTGGCTCACCTGGATCAGAGGCAACATCATCTTGAGTGTCTGCCATTATCTGAAAACATACGGTTGAAAAAATGTGTGAGGTCTAACAGTAAATGAGCTGCTTCACACACATATTAAGTTTGATAAGTATTTTACGTTCTTCAGAACACATGGATTACTTATCAAACACACTCCAATTTAAACTCTTATTTTTAGCAATTTATGATCAGCCTCATGCCAAGGCCCTCAGTAATTTTGCAACATAAAGATTCTCAAAAATTCAGTCTCTGTGAGGAAAGATATGACTTTTCCTTAATGTTCTCATCTTCTTACAGTTTACACAGTTTTCTTCCAGTTTGCCCAGTAGAAAGATGGGGAAAATTCCGTGCCTCTACAACTCTCAGGTAAAAGGGTTGTGCAGACCACCTTTTTTCAAACAGCAAGCAGAATATTCAAAAAAATTAAAACAGAAAATAGAGTAGAAATAGAATCACAACAGAAAAAAAAATTTAAAAAAATAAAATTTTGAGACTGCGAATAAAACGCAACTCAGCTTTCTTACCTTCTTCATCTTCAGTCCGGCAGTTTCAGCTGCTTTCCTGCGAGTTCGTCCGGTGGGAGTTGTGTCTAGTTCCGGAGGCGGGGCAATTTTCATACCCTTACTCACTTTTTGCTTGACCGGTGCTAGACTTCTCACAGTTTGAATTTCAGGTAAATCAGGAACAATGCAAATATTTTCTGGCTCGGCTGGTGAACTTTTCTTACGTCCTCTTTTGCCTGGCAGTTTCTCGGACAGTTTTGACGACTCTTCGTCAACATCGATGACCACTTCTGGTTCTGCCAGATTCATTACACTACTTTTGTCTGTTGATTTGGAAACCTGTTCTCCTTTCTTCTCTTCTTTAGTAGATGTAGTTTCACTTTTAAAACTGGTTCCTGATGATCCGAAGTCATCAATTTCCATGATTTCAGGTGTTACATCAACGATCGAAGGACTTTCAGGACCACTGAATTCATCTTCCTCTTGAGAAACATCAATCGACAATTCTGCAACAATCGGAACATTTAATTACTTATCTTTCCACAAACGAGAATACATCAGCACAGAGCACATCTTTTTCGGAATTGATCCTATCCAAATTAGCCCCTGTATGATTACAAGGGATTATACTAAAAAACATAGAGAATAAAAGAGCCTCAAAAAGAAATGTTCATGGTAGACATTTTTTTCCACTTCCATTTCCTTCTCCTTGGTCATTCAAAATTGCTAGGTTTAGCAACTTGTCTTCTATTCAATTTCCATCACATGGAGCTACAACCATTACGCTGAGGCCAGCACAATGTAACTTGGGTAGGTACTCTTTTTGTATTGGACATATTTCTGTTAGACGGAACTAAGCGCCAAATTGAGTTCCTTTTGAGGATTTTAGAATCCCGGATAGCGCGTTCTGTCAAACGGAAGCAAGCGCCATAGAAAAGCATTGCGAGTATAGGACAGAACAAGCATGGCGTTCTGCAACACCCGCCAATCCAAGCCCCCCTCTCCCTTTCTCCCCCTAGGGCACTTAGTTCCGTTTGATAGAAATACGTCTTATTGGGCAAGTGAAATTTTTCTAATTTTTCTCTGAAAAATGTAATCATTTTCTAACTGCACAAAAAAATTTCTTGAATAAATTGGTTTATTCAGGAGAGGGACTGTTTAATTCTTATTACAAGACTACCATGACCACTAGACAAGGTCTGAGCTGGAAGAGAATGTCATATGCTTTCTCTTTAAAATCTTATGCAAAGGAAAATTCTCTGAGCGGGCACTTGGGAAATCAAAACCTAAACGAAATATTAACATATATTTTCAACACGGATCAAATGGAGGTTAGATATACAAATTACGTCATTTGCATTTGTGCCATTTAACCAATAAGGATTATAAATTCACAAGTCTTGTTTAGGAGTTCCAGACTTTCCGCTGAGTGATTTGCTTTTCATGAAATTTTGGAGAGAAAACATTCTGCAAGGTACTTTGATTCACATCATGTCTAGAGGTCCATTGTCAGGAAAAATAAGACAAAAACTCAAGCTGAGATTTTGATAGGGTTTTCCTATGAAAATAAAGTATGAGCAAAAATTTAGGAAAATTTCGGTAACTAAGCACATTAATTCGGAGTTAAACTAAAGGAGAGGGAAAATGACCGATAGAAAGTATATAAGAGTAGCTAAGAACTATTTTAAAAGTATCTTACCAGTAACTGTTTTCTTCTTTACACTCTGCTCTGTTGATCCAAGTGCTCCAGCTTCAACAGATTTACCAATAGTTTGTACTACTTTGCCACCAGCAACAGACACTTCTGATTTATCACCAACTTTAGACGAGTCTTTATCTATTGCTTTTGATTCTGAGGTTAACGTTTTCGACTCTCCTACAGTTGTTGCTGTTCTGGATGCTCCAGAGTATATTTTGGTGATTTTTCCAAATTTATCCGTATCATCCAGCTCTTCCTCTGTTTCTGAACCATCATCAATAATAACAGCTGTATCTCCTTGTTTTCCATTCAGTTCTTTAGACTCTGCAGCCTCTTCAGCTAAGTCTGTAGTCCCTTTATCTTCTAAAGGCTTTTCACTCCCTTTTTTCTCTTCTGAACCATTTTCAGACCCTTTCTCTACTTCTGAGACTTTAGAAGACTCTTCCACTTCCTGGGCTTCAACAGGCTTTTCAACCTCTTGCAAGGTACTAGACGACGTTTCAGCAGCTTCAGCAACTGCGGAAGATTCAACCAACTCCGATGATTTCTCTGTTTCTGATGCTTCTTTATTGATTTCCTTATCTTCAAGGGTTTCCTCAGTTGCTTTTTGCTGTTCAGTAGAGTTTTTAGCTTCTTCTGCTGTTTTTAAGGTTTGAGCAGACTCCTCTGGTCCACTGCTAAATGGATCTTCAATATGCTCTTGCATACTCCTTGCATCTGGCTCTCCATCTTCAGGAACAGAGTCTTGATCCATATTCAAAAAGCTAGTCGACTCTGTTGGTTCGTTGCTATGCCCATCTTGCTCAAATGTGTCCGCCTGGTTATCAATATCATCATGGCTCACAGGTTTATCTGTTTTGTCTTCAGAGCATCTTTTACTGTTTGCATCATCGATACTTTCTAGATCTTCCGATTCACCGTCTTTTGAAGAAGGGTCGGTCTCTACATTCTCAGCAGAATTTTCAACAGCTGCACTTAATGGATCTGCAAAGTCTGCGCGGTCAGTGCTTTCACCTGGACTATCAGAAGCAACAATATCTGCATTTTCTAAATTATCCGCTGACTCAGAATTTTCCGTATGATCTGCTAAATTTTCTGCATTCGAAATAATTGTTCCTTCAGACTTTTTTGCTAAACTTTCTTCGCCACTAAGATTAGAATTTGTTGATGGACTCTTTATATTACAGGGCGCCACAACTTCACTACCTATTTCATTACTCGAAATCTTGCTGTCTTCTTCAGCCAGATTCTTGAGTTCTGCATCATTTGGACCCTCGCTCTCTTCATCTTGCATTGAAGAGTTTGAGACAGGACTGCCCATATCTACCGAATTAGAGTCTTGAACCTCAGGATTAAGAGAATCATTGCATACTTTGGAAGTGTTGACTTCATTGTCATCAGTCTCAACCTCCATATTATGATCTGATTCCATATTAACACCTTCTTTCTCACTTTTTGAAGCCTCCATTTCAGCTAAGACATCTGTGATGTCATCAGATTCAACAGTTTCGGCTTCAGCTTCAAGAGCAACTTTTTTTGAAACTTCATCTGAAACTGCAGGGGTTAAAATGGGTTCAGAGCTGGTGTTGTCATTTTCTCTGCTTCCTTCAACTATGGAATCTAATTCAGAACAATTAGATTCTACATTATCTGCGGAATTTTGAAGATCAGACAACTTAGATTTTAGTGTAGAAATATTATCACTTAGCAGATCATTATTGCTGTTGGCGGAGCCATCAGCTTCCTGGGAGGCACTACCGTTCACCTTATCGGAGGCTTCATTTTGATGGTCTTTTGTTCTCAATTCATCAGCAACTTCCTCCATTGTTTAATACCTGAAAAAATAAAACTGAAGTGAGATTTGATGGCTGACAAAAAAAACGCTATACATAAGATGGAGGGATTTGAAAATGGATAAATTTTGCCATTAGGTAATTGAAATGAAGTTACTTACAACCTTCTGAGCATGAGAACTTATAAATGAAACTTAGAGTTGGCCACCTTCTAAAAAACAAAGGGGCGCTAAAGAGTGAATTTTTCAGCATTTTCACACAAGTTTTCTAATACAGATATGGAATTACTTTGTGTCAAATCTGTGCATACGAGCTTCTGATTTAGAATTTGACAAGTAAATCTGCATCACACTTTTGTCCTTTTGAGGAATTTCGGTTCTCTTGAACAGACGATTTGTGCAAAACCGAGTATGAAGGCTCATGGTTTTGTCTCATCTTCCCAGCCAATGCCCAATAGAAAGCCGTCCTACGTCAACGATCTGTTGCTGCTATCGTTCAACTAGATAGAATGTGTAAGTTAGAATGATGAGGCAGTCTGAACGATTTTCAGATCAAATATGCAGATTCCTTCTCTTCTTAACTTCGCTGATAAGGGATATAGGTACTTAGATCACATTCATTTCTGATGTTGAACGGAGGGAAGAAAATGTTATAAATGGAAAAAGAGGAAACTATTCCATAAAGAGGCACTTGAAAGTGCCACACATTCATGATGGAGGCAAATTTTTAAAAGCGTGACAGCAGAAAGTTCAATGCATAAGCACAACCTCAAAGCCGATTTTTTTGCAAAAAATTCCTGTCAGTGGCGTGGCGTGAATTGCGATTTATTGATTGTTATGCCATTTAAACCTATGGTAAGGAATTGATTATTAAGGTGTTCGCTGCGAACACCCTGTTTATCGAACCTTTTCTATAGGTTTAGGTGGCATAACAATCGATATATCACAAAGCACGCCACGGATTCCTGTGGCATTTGATTCACAAACTTCAACTCTTGGAATTGAGTACTTAGAGGGTTGATTGTAATCTATAAAATTCAAGCCAATTTTGTCCATAAATGTTTTCGATTTCAAACAAATGATAGTCATTTGTAGTTTGATATTAGGAGTCAAAGGGTGAGCAACTTCTATTTACCGTGACAGGTGATTAAAAATGAAACTGCTGATAGATTTGGAACAAGCTACTGACGTCTTAACATTGGTTAAACCTTAAGAATAGAATGCAGAAAGTAGAGGTGCATAAACGCTACAATGATTGATTGTTAGGTGCGACAGAGGCGGACAAAGCTCCAAAGGAGGAGACAAAACGCAATGTCTCTGATATTTGCCAGATAAACCAATTAACGGAAATAAGAATGCAGCCTGTAGCTGAACAGATATGACTGAGAAGATATTAAATGGATAAAAAATGAGTAATCGCACAGTACTTAGATCCGAAAGAATTTAGATTGGGCATTGTTTATAACCTCACTTTCAGGATTTTGAAGGTTCGTCAGGCAAAAAAACACGATTCATAATTGCTGTTGTCTCGGCAGCAATATGAAGAAAATTTAAAAAACAAAATATACTTTAACAGTCGCTTTTTCAGAGATCGAAGCACTTTATCAGATATAATATGTACACAGAGGAAACATGGAGACCGACTTGGATTGTCAAGAGAAGTCACCGGGATAAACAATGAAATTTTCGGAAGATGACACGATACTCACATGAAACTAAACATTATTATTTTGAGGGAAAGAACAGTAACACTTAAAAAGTAACGTGAAAGCTTAAATATTTAAATGATAAGTTATAATTTAGAGAAAATTAAAATAAATGCACGGGCGGTACACTGAACTCCCGGAGTAATCGATGCTAACTAGCACCGTAAACTCATCAAAATGAGTCGGCGCTCACCAATCACCGCGAAAGAATGGGCAACAAAGATGCCCGCCAAAACAAAATGCCGTCTTCGCGCGAAATTTCGAATCCTAGCCGAATTAGTTTGATTCATGATTAATGCAATTTTACAGTGAAACAGAGGATATGCCACCTTGATTGTTGAGATTTTAATTCAAGATGGAAAATTGATGATCCTCGATTTCGCATTCTAAGAGTGCTTAAAAGTAGACTGATTCTGAAGTCCGGAGACCTCCCCCCACCCCCCCCCCCNAATATTCAGAACGTATGAACGGTTGTTCTTATTAATAGAAATTGGGGGGGTTTCTGATTCAATAATGCTACTTTTACCATATTTAAAGTTTTGAGGGTCCTATGAGAGTGGAGCGGCCCCTCCTTTTTCCCAATAGCAACCCTTCTTTACCCAGTCCACATACCCACTTCAATTTTTTAGCAAAATAGACATGATGGCTTGAAGTTTTAAAAAAGTTATAGGACCAATTTTTCAGGAAATTATAAGTATCAGTTTAGAACTCGTAAGGAGTTAGGTACTAGGAGTTAGAATTTGGAATGGTGGTAAAAAAGCTAGAGAATATTTAAATTTAAATATTAGATTGTTCTCTAAAAGGGGGGGGGATGAGGGCAGAGGGTTGAAAAATTACAATTGTAATTGAGTGGTAACCAGTTTACCTAGTCACCCACAAAACAAGACAAATTTTTGTTTTTTAGTTTCTTACTTGACGGGCACATTACTTCAGGCTAAGAAGTAGGTGAACCAAACCGATAGATTTTAATAGTTTATCGATGATGAAATAAAACATAAAATGTTTCTCCTGACTCACAAAAATGTATTACTCACGCACTTAGATAGCTTCAGCAAATTCTTAGGGTTCCTTATTTTTTCTTCCTTAACTTATCAGCATGAAAAATGTACAATCTGTGGCCGATATTTAATTAAAAAAATTTAAAATAGATTTTCAACACGATTGACTTAAAGTTCGTTTGAGATTTTTAAGCGTCTGAAAATATTAAAACTTTTCCTTTTTTTGTTCTTAGAAACGTTTAATGTTTACCTCAAGTTTCTTATGCAATTTTTTTCTCTTCTTTTTCACTCAAGAATTCTCTATCTTCCCTGTATGACATTTTTGCAGAAAAACCAATGAGACTTTATTATCTCTGTAGATATGTATTCAGGGTCAAAATTATCCAAGAGTGTGGGCAACCAGATTCTTTTTGCATACTGTAAAAGGCATTCTTGGCATACAGAGCAAACTGTAAAACTCTCAATCCCTCTCATCCTTCACAAAGGTACCATTTAGATCTATCCTCTCCTTTCCAGTGGTCTGTCCTTAATTGGAAATTGGGATTCGTCAGAGCAGAACTAAAAAATCGGATCAAATAATGAAAAAAATAAACTTTAGACAATAATACATAATACTTTTCACTGTTACACATGGTTTATGCTTCAAGTTGTTTTATTTCTTTGAAAAATAGTGTCTTATAAGCACTTTAGATTTATTTTATTTTTTATAAGTTATTTTTATTTTACATTTATTTTCATTCCTATATTTGCAATATAATGCCTTCTTATTCCCCTGGTGATAAATAAAATGTTTGTGCTTCAGGCACCCTAGCACATTGAGAGACAAATATTGAACTCAATTCAAACTTTGAGTAAAAGAAGGCTACAAGTAAAAATTTCCTGATTGCAAGTTAACAAGCTACAAGTGCATTTTATTAAAGTAATTGAAAGTAAAAAAGTTGACAATTAATTAAAAGAATGCCTTCGATCAACAAGGACACAAAAACAGGATTGAATCTTGGGGTGAATTGAAGTAAGAAAAGACGTTAAATGCAAAGTTTTTGCAGTATTCTCTTTATTAAAATTTTTCTGCACCGGGAAGTGAACAGTCAACAAAAACAGCAATAAAATTAAACATCAAGGTAGTTGTTTCAAACAACTGAACATTGGCAAACTGAAAAACGAATTTCAAAAATTTGAAGGGAACAACTACTACTAGAACACCGGGACTGTATAAAAAAAAAGGGTTGACTTACATACAATGGTAAAGTAATAATTAAAAAAAAAAGAAGAAAAAAGAGAGATTCTATTATATAGTCATAGCAAGTGGTTATATTTACAAAAAAACTGACAACTAAAAAGTCTATCACAGAGAGAGTATTTCTTACTTTGTTGCATCCATCAATTTTCTATGCTCAACTTACACGTGCTGCTACATTAGGCACACTTTCACTTACAATTTTTTGGAAAAAAAGCCAGTGCAGTAAGTTAAGCAGTGAATTTAAGTGAATTAAGAACAAATCCAATTTGTTTACTGATATAATACCTGATTAAGATAAGACAATTATCTGTAGTCCCAAACTGACAAGAAACCAAAAAACTTTTCTCTCTACAAATGAGTCTTGCACTACAAGTATTCTTTCCCCAAGAAAAATATCAACCTCAGATTGCATTTGCTCAGGCCTGACACCAAGTGTGTTAAACACAATCCATCAAAAAAACTGAAAATCGTTACCAGTTTTGCAAATCCACAGTGATACTGCAAAAACGCGTATCTCGATTTGCAGCATTGTATAGTTTCTGTCATATTCTTTAATTTTTCTTCTTTCAGTGGAGAATGTTCTGCAAAAATTTTAAACTATGCTGAGTTTGAAACACCATGATCGAGCTTAGTATTTTTGCACTTTCACTGTAGAAATTTAGTTGGACTGAAGCAGTGGTTCGTTAGAAAGATAATTGGAAAAACCTTCCTTTTCATAATATGCAATTCTTCCTGCTATACTAATAAAGAAGTAGCAATCTTGTTGCTGGTTCAGATTGGATTTGCTTTTTTATACACATATTTGTGTTATTCAGAGGTTTTATATCTTAAAATAGATTTAGGGTTCATAATTAATTTACTTTGAAAATATAAAAGTAGCAAAATTTAAGCAACTAGCAGATGGACTTTTTCTGTTTTTTAAGAGAAACATTCTTGTTCTCTCACAGAAAAATCATCTCAGTGCTTAGTAAGATTAAAAATTAAATGCATAGGTCAGTAGGTTTTAATGCGTTAAGAATTATTGACAACTTACTATTCCATAGATAGATAGCAATTTAATGATGTGTTGATGACAAGGTGAGTGACAACGAGTAAAATTATACCACTTTGAGGCATAAGTCTGAGAGAAATAGGGCCTTAAAGAGTGTTGATCTATTCAAATTGGTTCCTACTCAAAATTAAATAATTTTTATTTGTGACAATGGCTTGGCTTTTCCCAAAGTTATGTCAATCCTTATATGAGGTTGTATTTGGTTTTACCTTAGAGTAGAATGATTTATCAAAAAAGAAATCAATTTAAAATATAAATGGAAACAACATACGTGTGTATTCAAAGTTCCTGACTCCAATTTTAATTAATTTTTAATACAGACGAATAAAATCAGATGGATCAAAATCTGTAACATCTATTGCTTTCTTCTAAGTCTCATCTTCTTAGCATTTCATTTTTTAGTTGCAAAACCAACAACTTGACGTTTTCCGTTGAAAATTCATCTTGACTATTTTTTAGTTTTTTTAAAAAATTGGAGAAATTTCTGAACGATCAATAGGTCCCTTTTTGTTTTTTAAGATGAGCTGTGGGATACCTAACACAGGATTTTAGTAGATTGTAATCTTGAATAGACTCGACTTGTGTCCTCATCAACACAAATAATGATTGCAATTAAATTGGAGTCAAGAAATTTAAGGAAGTTAAGGTAACACTTTAGATTTCTCTCAGCCGAGATTTCGTCGAATTGAGACTTCCATAAAATCCTTCAAAGGAACACCCAACAGAAAAAAATGAGTTATAACACAAAAAGCTGACTAGATCCAAATATTACAATAGATTATAGACTAAATATCTTTCATTGAAACTGAGTATTGATTTTAGTAAGGCAACATTTAGAAATTGAGAAAAAGAGAACAAATGAAAAATTCAGCTTCACGAAAAATTAAAGACCAGCCTCAGGACAAATCAATTTTAAATGTTTACTCTCCAGCGGGCCGATTATTGAAATTGATAGACAACGCTATAGACAAAGAAGACATAGGGGGTATAAAACAATCCTATTGGTTGAAATGGGTGGCTCTCATAGACTAAGGGGGAAAATGATAGACTAACTGTCGGGTCTCTCGTGGGTTGCCGTTAGTTAGTCTATTACCTACCTCCTTTGTCCATTGCAACCACCCGCTTTCACCAATAGGATCTCTCCATAAGTCTTTTGTCTCCTTTGTCTATAGCTTTGTCGATCAATTTCAATAATCAGCCCGCAGGGAAGAGAATATAAAACTGCAAGAGTGAGCACTGACACTAGCGGCCCACTTGAGGAGAGGCATTATAGTACCCAGACAACCTACTCCTTTGTCTTTCTAGATCTTTGCTCTCCCTCTTTACAGGAAACATTGTGAAGTGATGAAAGAAGACATACTTTATTCGCTGCAACGATTATTTTATGTTAAAGATTTTGTATCATTTGCATCACTTTTTCATAAACAATGAGAGCGAAATGGGATAGAAATCCCGTTAACAATTGTTTCACTTTTGCCGTAACATGCTCCAAGAGCAGTATGATTATTCCTTGGCAATATTGCAATAGCATTGCAAGATTAAGCAAAAAATGAAACAAATAAAAAAAGGCCAGGCCCCGTTAACAGAAACTAAATCCAAAGGAAATACAATTGTTACGAGCTGTTCCGGATTGTAATGGTGAACAAATTGGGTCTGGAAAAAACAGTGAAAAAGTCTGTTTGTCCCTCCACTATAAGAAACAGATGAGCTCGGTAATGCCACTGACAAACTCGAAAAAAAAAGACATCCTTCACTCTCTGAAAATGTGTTTCGAATGCCAAAAACTCATAACTGAACAAGACGCAAACATTTTCAACTTTTAATGTTATCATTGACATTGACCGTTGCCTTAAAAATTAAATGAAGAGTTTGAAAGACACTATGGATACATCTTGACATAACTAGGTAAAACAGATCTAAGAACATCAGAAAGATTTGCAAAATTTCATAACAATTGACAGACCTCTATGTACAGACACGGTTCAAAGCAGCAATCATAATTAGATCCTTTTTTGGTTCCATTGATCTTCCTAATAATTTAAACTAAAAAATGATGATAAAAACAAAGTGAAGTTCTGATCATTAAAAAAATTGAGTAATTGAAAAATTCCAAAAAAAAGTCAAGGTTTAGGTGGGATGCCGATGTTCTTACTTAAAAAGTCCACTGTCACTAGAGATGGAAGACCCAATTTCTTCCTTGAACACAGTTTTACACACCTGCACTGTCTATTAGTAACAGTAAATCTTAAGTACTATAATACAAATCCAACACTGCTCACTAATGGACAATTAGACTGGGTAAGAAATCAAGAACCACAGCACATGCTTTCTCATCAAAATTATAGCATAATGAGCGTGATGGAAACTTTCAAAATTAAGTTGTAAATAGGAATGGACCACTAGACAAGGTATGAATTTAAGCATTCAGATACATGTTTTTTAACCAAAATTTCTTGTAGAACACAATGCGCACAACAAAAATTACCGGAATCAACTCCTTACAAAGATATTTAATGATTCCTGATGCGTGAATTCAAACCACCCGCTCAATAAAACTCAATGCTCTACGTGATTCACATCGCGCGTTGAATATTATCGTGACAGTCTCTGCGATATGAAAATCTGGCAACGACAATTTTGACGCTTTGCCTCAGCTATAGCAAATTGCTTATAATTTGAACAACACATGGTGGGAAACGAACAGTGCTCGATTAAGAGGCTTGCTGAAACTGTTGTGGTGCGCGATTTGACTCACGTAGAGCTTTGAGTTTCTTGTCAGCGGGCAGTTCAAAATCCGCGTAACCAATGTGAAATAAAAAGGTTAATATCTTCTTCAGGAGTTAGTTTCAGTAATTTTCGCTGCGCGAATCGTGTTCTACGTGAAATTCTGATTAAGAAACATGTATCAGAATGCTTGAATTCGTGCCTTGTCTAGTGGTCCATTCAACATTCCTAGTTTCACAGTAAATTCAAATTTACCACTAGTGAAAAATATGTGGTCAATGTAGACCAAATTAGGCATTGAAATCAACCTGTAAGTTTAGCAAATAATTATAGCTTGGTTTTACACATATTTCCTTCCTCTTCTGATACAAGATACCTTTGATTTTGTCAAAAAAAAGGTTGATACAGCAAAATTCTTTCATCGAAATTAGTTTAATGCTCAACCTGACTTGAGTAAACTAAGATTTTTTAGTGAACAAGAAGTATGAATTAACTTACACAAGAACAGTTGTTAATACTCAAATTTGGAAAGTTTTGATATGTCCATTGTACACTATGTAAAATGTTGATGAGCAAACATAAATTGCGGTTTTTAATTTCTTACCATGTTTACTGTCCATTGAACAAATGAGGCAGTCCATGCAAAGTTAGTAATTTAGATACAAAGAAAATACAAATAATCTTTAAAACTTTCACATCATTACAAAAATCATGCAATTTTTAGATAAGAAGAAAAGAAAAAAAAAGCTGCTTAAAATAAGTATAACAACATAGTGATGTTTTGACATGGCTGAAAATGTATAAAGCTTAAAATAATGAAGGTAAATGAAGTACAGTTTTGAGATTCTAAAGTTTCTTGCACAGCGGAGACAAGGGCATTCTTGATCAGAGCACGAGAGGGATATAGGGTTACTCATTCATGGTTTTGTTCACTGAACTTTTTCATGACTTCAACATCATTCGATAACCTGCTGTCTGAATTTCAATTTAAATGAACAAAAAAAACCTTTAAATTTCAAGATGTATTACAAGCAGACATGTTGAGACTTCTCTGACTTAAAATGATTTGTGACAGGAATATATTAAGTGCTCTGTATTTCAGTCAAAAAAATTGCTTCAAGTAAGCAAAAGAAACCAGCCTATGAAAAATCAAATTCCTTGAAGTGTTCATTTAATACAATATTTATAATGTGTGTCCCTCTGTAAAAACATTAAATGATCATGAAAAAGTAGGCCATTTTGAATTGTGCAATCAGAGTAGTCTTTTGCAGGGAAAAATTCCGTCTGTATATATTATATTACATTACACAGAAACAAATTATTATAAACTGAAGAGTGTGCACCTCTCCAACGTGCATTTCCTCTGCACTCTAGACAAAGGTGTCTACATTGTAGATTTTTACAATCACTGACATTACTGCCGATCCTTTTCATAAGAGTTCCATATAGGACATACAACCCTATGTATTCATTATAAAACCAACCTACCAAACCATGGAGGTTGTTTGAAATTTACGAGTCTGATGGGCTGGACATACTAAAATATAATGCAGAGTAATAAGTAGCCTGAAATATTCAGGATTATGGGCAAGTGGAACTGACTCTATTAACGGCACATAGTAAGGCATCATTTAAATTATCAAAAACAGGCAGAGATTCCTTTTTAGCAAAGTCAGACAAATAAGATCTTCCTCGATTGTAGTCAGAAATAGCTGCTGGTGAAATCTGAAACAATAAAAGGAATATGTAATTCAAATTAGAGGAAATTAGCGTGTCAAGTGTAAGGCTACTTTAAAAATCTTTCTACGACAACCAGAGAGAAATTTCAGGAAAATCTCTCATGGGATTAACCTGAGATAAAGAAGGATATTACATCCCCATTCCAAACGGAGAAGTATAAACTATCCACAAGATGCGTTCTAGGATCACTGCATAATAAATCATTAGCTGAATAGTCCATTTTCAGACTTGTGACGAGATCTGAAGCGAGCCAAAACAAACCTATCAGCAACGCATTTGAAAGGTTTTTGGGGTGAATTCCGTCCTACCTATTTAATGTTACTGATACTTTGAAAATCTCCAGTTCAGAACACTAAAATTCCCAAAAAATTAATTAAACCTGAAAAAACTGACCAAATTTTATGGTAAACCAAACTGACTACGGCAGTATTGTCCATTGTACATACAATAGTTTAGTTAGTTCAGATTGGAGGATATGGATTTGGTCGACATGAATCGATCCAAAAATGAAAACGTGAATCGATCGACATGAATCGATCGACACTGGTTCGATCGACAACCATGAATCAATTGACAAACCCATGAATCGATCAACAAACCTGTGAGTCGATCGACAAACCCGTGAGTCGATCGACAAACCTGTGAGTCGATCGACAAACCCGTGAGTTGATCGACAAATTGTTCAAAAAACCGGTGTCGATTCGATCGACATGAATCAATCAAAAAATGAAAACGTGAATCGATCGAAAAATGAAAACGTGATTCGATTGACATGAATCGATTGACACCGATTCGATTGACAGTTAATTTAAAAACACCCATATCGGTTCGATCGACATGAATGGATCGAAAAATGAAAACGTGAATCGATCAACGTGAATCGATCGACACTGATTCGATCGACAACCATGAATCAATTGACAAACCCGTGAATCGATCGACAAATCCGTGAATCGATCGACAAAAGCCGTGAATGGATCAACAAAAGCCGTGAATCGATCGACAAACCCGTGAATCGATCGATAAACATATGAATGGATCGACAAAAGCCGTGAATGGATCGACAAACCCGTGAATGGATCGACAAACCCATGAATGGATCAACAAACCCAGTGGATCGACAAACCCTCGAGTCGATCGAATTTTGTTGATCGAATCGGTGTCAATCGATTCACGTCGATCGATTCACGTTTTCATTTTTCGATCCATTCATGTCGATCGAATCGATACGGGTGTTTTTAAATTAACTGTTGATCGAATTGGTGTCGATTGATTCATGTCGATCAAATCACGTTTTAATTTTTCGATCGATTCATGTCGATCGTTTCATGTCGATCGTTTCATGTCGATCGAATCGACACCGGTCTTTTAAGAATTTGTTGATCGAATCGGTGTCGATCGATTCACGTTTTCATTTTTCGGTCGATTCATGTCGATCGAATCGACACCGGTTTTTTTAACAATTTGTCGATCGATTCACGTTTTCATTTTTCCATCGATTCATGTCGATCGAATCCATACCCTCCTTCAGATTTTACTTGAATTAGGAAAGATAGAATACATACCACTTCTCCTTTAATTGTTGTATTTTTTTTCATCATTTGAATGCTCAATATCACTTCACATCCTTGACCAATATAGTAACTTGCCTGAAAGAAGAAAGATATTTACTTACTAAAAACAGATAATTACTGCCCACATTAGAGAGTTAAACACTATTATGAAGTTAATTGATTTTTTCTTCTTTTTTTTTGAAGACAGCATCGCACATACTTCAATGAGCCAGTTGCGCTGGTCATGGAAGCGTGTTTTGATGCTTGATTCTTGTAGATAAGTTAGAAATAATAATATGATCTGTCTAGACTGCAAATATCTACGTTCAATATTAACCGAGATACTGCCTTTGAAAAGTTGGGTTTTTGACGTCATCCACCACGGTAGTGACACCCTCGGTTCCTTCCACCTTGCTTTTATCAATCAGGGAAACACACACTAGCACTGGTTACTCACCGTGAAACTCGGATGAAAGCAAGGTGGAAGAAACCAAGGGTGTCACTGTAGCGGTGGATGACATGAAAAACTCGACTTTTCAAAAGGATATTGCGGTCAATATTGAACGTAGAAAGTTGCGGTTTGGACAGATCTTACTAATTTGAGCTGCTCTAAAAAAATCAAGCATCAAAATGCAATTCTGTGATTAGCACAACTGACTCATTTACAAAGGTTTGCAGTAAAATGGGAAAAATTTTTAGATTCTTCTTCTGATGAAAAGGTACAAATTTTATGTCAGCATCAGCAGATTAAGAGAGTTATTTGAGAGCCAATCGATCAATCGATAATTTCTGGATTTTGAGACATTTCTGCAAATATCTCCTAATATCACATCATACTTTAGTCCATCAGACGGTATAATTTTACCTTCCCTCCTCTTAACAGCAAGGTTGCCAGAATGTCTGCCTGCGTTGCCCTTTTTAATATTTACTTTATGTCTTGTAGCTGTTCTGAAATCAGTGCAATATTCTATTCTATTCTATTGTACTCTATTCTTTGGTCCATTAGGTTTCTGAAAAGAAGATTTGCTGAGACGCACTTTGAAGTACTCCAAGAGTACACCCCTGATAAATATTGCAAACTAGCAGGGCAGTCATCGTGTTAAGTTTCCAAGTTCCGTCAAATGGATATCTATGAATCCTTGTTAAACGGAAAATAAAAAGAAACAAAAGATAACTTACCAAAGTCATTGTGCTTAAACCTCGTGTGGTGGCTGGAATATGGAAGATCAACACTTGGTACTTATCAATCAGATTGATACCTTCTTCGTTCTTAGGGAACCTTAAAATGGAGAGATTCACTTTTTTCATCCTGAAACATTCAATCATTATTGATTAGAGATTGCTTTGTAAAGAATATAAGAGGTACCTTACAGGTTACTTAGATTGACATAGTGAATAGCATTTAAATCAGTTTCAAGTGAGATTATGATGGGAGAAGTGAAAATATAACGAGTAAAACTAGTCTGATGATTGACATCTCTAGTATCCTGAATGATGCGGTGGTTCATGGTTAAATTCTTCTACTCTCGTCTAAAGTAAGTTTTAAGATTTACATCAACTCACTGTTCACTAAAATTTTCATGAAAAGGATACATACTACTTGATATTTATTTGTATGAATTGAATTACTGTGTGGTTAGTACTTACTTTGGCAATGAAGTAACCATCAGATCTGAATCACTGATATCGCCAACTAAGCAAAGATCTTCTCGATCATTGTTACCTTTCGACATAACATTGTAACGCCATCTAACAACCCATTCTGGAATAAAAGGAAAAATGATTTATATTAATTAAAAAAAAAATACTCAAAATGTTTTGCGGTAAACTCACCATTAAAACCAAGAGGATTTAAGGGAGGTTCCTCCAAAAGTGGAGAATTGCCATGTTGCTATAAATTAAAAGATTTCCAATACTTTGCAACATTTCACTGCAGAAACTTGTAACAAAAGAGGTTTCTATCCTAGCCAAAAATATACTAATCAACGGGGTAAGTCAGCAATTAACTCGGTTTGCGACGTCGCAGACTTCCTGTCATACTTTATTTTTTAAACGGAAAACTACTCAACAGCAATTCTTTAAAACTGCCGTGATTTATCTACTCTGTGCGAAGAAAATTCTGCATAAATTTCAAGAAATTGTGTCAATTTGTTCTCTTTTGAAAAAATAACATACTTAGTGACTGAAATCCTCTTTGTGTTTTTTTAGGCATCTCTGCTAAAAATTCAAATGATAAAAGGCATGAGATATTATATCAGGTCGTTTTTAAGTTAGCACATCTAAATGTATCTAAATATTAATAACAGTCACAGTATTATTGTAAGCTGTGTCTTTTAAAGCCCACGCCAAGTACACTTCACACTCACATAGTAAACAGATATTCGAAAACGAAACTAGTCCAGCCATCATTTAAAGTCATGCAGCAACTCCAGGCATCACAGACAAGTAATAAGAATAGCTCAATGCTTTAAAATACCTAAGACTTTGCCATGAATGTTAGTAGAGAACTGCTTTAGACGAGATAAAAAGAGGTTAGGGGGAGAAGAACTTGAAGAAATCTCACTTTCTGCATCGTCACTATTCAAAGATGTTTTCAATCCAGAGAATATTGAACAAAATTGAGAAAAATTTATCTTTACTTCTCCAATGTTACTTTCCTTGGAACCTGAAAAATAGAAAAAAAAATTGTAGCTTAAATCAGCAGGAAAATGTAAGTATTGTTCACAGCACATAGAACAAACCAATTTTATAGGGAGAAATTACTTTACTTCTGCAGAAAAATCTGAAGAGTATCTTCTAATTTTTCAACACAAAGATGAGGTAAGAAATTAACTGGGATGACACTTGACTGAAAAAGTTATTTCATCTAAAAGACAATGCTGTTTGATATCCCTAAATATTAAGGTGAAATACAATTTAGATTTGCAAAAATAGGCATATTTGAATTACTACACTCAATAATGGTGCGATTTCACTATTGATGCTGTTTGTTTCTATTCTTTGATACATTTTTTTTTCCTTTTCATTAACAAAGGAAAGAGAGAAAATTTTCTTAATGAAAAAGGATTAAAAAAGAGACAATATTATAAGGATCTCGAACTATCGAAGCACTATTCCTTGTGATTAAATTTTACCTGTTACTTGAGATGAAATTCCTCGTAATTCCGTTTGTGATAGATTATGTTTGGTCAATAACTGACAGACCTGGAAGGGAATCAAAACGAAAAAAAAATTAGAGTTAAATACAGGAATAAATCTTATTTTGCCACTTCAATCATTATACTTTTTGATCAATTCTGCGGGAGGAACAACTTTGTTACGGCCCTGGAAAAAGTTTGTAATAGCCTGCTTTGATAGATCAAAATTTGAAGTATATTTAGGTATCGCTTTCAAGATGAATCCTTAGCGTCGATGGTTTCAAGAGAACTTCAGTTGGACTTTAAAAATACTGATGCATTCGTACATGGCTGCATTGCATATTTTGATAATTGACGCATTGTATTAAGCCTGCCAGCCTTATGATAATAAGCTAAGATAATATGACTAACATTATTCCTGAGGGAACTCCAAAATATTCTTTTTTCCTCGATGTTTCCAGAACTTATCATAAATTAGTAAATATTTTCAAGCTTGGCCATACTGGTAGAGCTGAGGTGAAGAAATTTGCTGGAGATTATAGTCTGCCCCAGATACTGAGGTAAATAGAGGACACCGGCCTGGGTAATTATTTGAGCATTCTAAAAGGAGGTTTTTTGGGTGAATAAAAATAAATATGAACGAGAAATGAGTCGCATAATAAACTCGAACTTTCAAATTATCTCGATACAGTAAAACTTCAATATAACGAATTTTTGGGGACTGGCGAAAAAATTCGTTAAATCAAAAACCGCGGAAAACCCGATTTTAGGCCACAAATTTTTTTGAAATGTTCGACTTTTTCCCGTTTTGTGTACACCCCCCCCCCCCCTCTTCATCTATTACGATATATGGAAAATCGGCGGGAAACACCCGATTAGCTCTTGATCAGTAAAACTGGGCAGCGGTAGTGAGGAGCGCACGGCAGGGGTTGAAATCGTACTGATGACACAGCTCACGTAGCTCCTTAATCACCCCGTTCACTCGAGGAAACATGTGTGCCTCGGAAATCCCCAATCCTGCCATATTCGGAAAATGACCTTTGCACCGACACCGACGTACAGTACGCGGGTGAAGACAAGTATGCTTTCTCCCCAGCGATGTTGCCGGGCGCGCGGAAATTCCCGTGCATTTGTTAAATCGAGGTTGATTTACATGGTAAAGTTTGTACTTGGACCGAAGATTTCCTTCGTAAAAGCGAATATTCGTTGTACCAAGTTCGTCATATAGAATATATTTTACATTGAAAATAGGGATTTTTTCAGGACCATGAAAAAAATTTGTTAATTTGAAGAATTCGTTGTATCGACATTCATTATATCAAAGTTTTACTGTATTTACAAAAAGGGCCAAATTTGTTTCGGGAGCCTAACTGCTCCCATCTTCAGCAGGTGACAACTCATTCAAGTTTGAGTTTATTATGCGACTCATTTCTCGTTCATCTTCATTTTCAAAGTTTGTAATCTTGTAAAAAAGTTAAAAATAAACATGTTAAAACTTACATCAGAGAGACTAATTTCACCACTATTGGTTGTATCAATTGCGCTAAATACTTTTTGCAGATCTCTGGAACAAAAGAAAACATGAAACATTTTACAGAATTTTATTACAATTTTCTAAAAAAGTAACCTTTTTTGGTAAGGGTAGGAAACGTTTTAAGGAAAAGCACAAATATCAAGGATTATTACTAACTTTAAACGCTTCATGTCAATGTTGATCATAAGCTCGATTTTTTTCATAATTTGTAATTTTAATGGTATTTTTAGACTTTTTTGCTTTTATAATTAAAAAGATCCAGGAAATTATGCAAATCAGGCCATTTTCACAGAACAAAATCTTCGACAGGTATTTGAAAAAATTATTAAAAATAATTGTTTGCATCAAATAAAGATTTTGTTTGCATAGGTTTCTTGGCGCAAAGGGGATTGATTTTTTTCAAGTGAAAATTAAATTTGCAGAAGACTGACATCTTGCACAATATATAAGGTCTTTGTTGGCTTGATAGCGAATGGCGTTGCTGGATAATAATAAGCTCTTCTTAAATCAAACAAAGCTCAGCTAGCATTTTATCTTATGCCAGCACAAAAAAAGAAAAAAATAAGAAGAAAAAAAATTATTTTGAGTGTAAATGTAGCTGCTGATTGATTGAGTGGTCATAAAAAAGTCCCAATTATCTTTTTCTTTTTTTATAGAACTTTGAAAGAGAAGTTCCAATCACACCAAGCTAAAATCGACTAAAGTTTTACACCTGCAAATACTTACTTACATCAATGGTCAAAAAATGTAATCCAAAAACCACCTGAGTTAAATTACCAGTAAATACATTTTTTTTTAGTTGAGGGGCTTAGAGGACAAGGCGCATAAATGCAGTTTTTGCAATTTCAAGAAGTACTTGTTACAAGTTTCGAAACTACATGGATCCTTATGTCAGAAAGGAAGTTCAAACTGACTTTTTGATACGTAAAAATTGGAATTTGGGCGTGAATTTTATACAGCATATGCATTAAGACTAGTTTGACTTGAAATCATTAGTATCTCATTTTTTTCAAGAAATGCACTTACTCGCCATGTGCTCCAAGCCCTTCAATTATGCTTGCGCCACAAAATGAAAAACAAATCTATTGGTTAAGTTCTCAACAGATACTTCTTAAATATTAATAAAAGAGACAACTTTTTAATACTTACAATTGTTTGTCAGGAACTATCAAAGAATTATTTTTCAAAAGTTCAACTGAGTTGGAGTATTCTAGGTCTGGGACTTTTTTGTTGTCCTGAACTATCTGGAAAAAAAAGATGAATGAAATATTCTAATAATCATAGAAACAAAAAAGAATAAGGAAAATGAAGAATTTCGATTAACTAAATTAAAAATCTGAGAAAAGCCTGTATCTCTGTATAAAAAAATTATCAATTCAAAGTTTTTTTGAGAATATTATGGTTAACTTCGAAGAGACAAAAACTTGGGATGATTCCGCAAGCAGACACTGCTACCTCATTAATACTCAACTCTAATTGGCATCAATTAGTTGCTACTGGGCTCAAGTGAGAAGTTTATCAAATGGGATTGAAATAGAGCTTTATACCTGAAATTTTAAAAATTATTTACACAATCTTAAATTAGCCAACTGGCGAATTTTCTCCTGCTCAAATTTAAAAATACATACCTTAGCCGCACAACTAACTGCTAGCGGAATGTTGTCGAAAACTGAGATGCCATGTTTCTTTACTAGGTCTTGCAATAGGAATTGGGCTAACCGCAAGTCATCGCTCTCTCTGAAATAAAATAACATATATTTGAGTATTCTATTCTAAAATAGAAAGTTGGCTTGACTCTTTCAGTTCAAAATTTTACTGCAATCTTTCTAAACATATTATAATCAGAAAGCAATGTCAAAGGTTTGTTGTTGACCCGGTTATTTATAGCTTTATTTACTGCACAACAATTATGAAATAATTGCCAGAATTTTACTTTTTTTCTGCAAAGAGATCAAAAACACACTAGCTCCTTGAAAATGGATCAAACTACTGACAAAACCTCATGAACATGTTTCTCAAACCATTTACATTTTAGGATATTAGGTGTTCCATATAAGGGACACCATGACTTGAAGGGTTGAACTAACATTTGTGAGATCGCCTCGCCGTTGATGATGTTGCCAGGCTCTGCAATGGACATAACGAGGACCAATTTACGACTATTTCCCGCAAAGAAAGCCGTCTCGATGATGCCTACCACATTTCGTGTCCTGTCATCCAAGACGTACAACAGTATGGAGGCTGCCTCCTTAGCCTGGTGTTCCAACTCGATCAGCTCTTGCCGCCACTGGGACACTTGCTAAAACACAAAAAATAAGCTTAGATTACCTACAATATTTTATTTTGATGAAAAAAAGTCACAAGACATTGAATGAATTCTGAAGGACCAAACAAGCGATCAAACTGTTTGCACATTCGACCTGATCTTTTAAACTTTTTATAAAGTTAATTATGACCCAATTTAAATGGATCATATTTAGCAAAAAGGAACCAGCGCAAATGCAGTGTTGTAAGAATGTTGCTTCTCCATAATTTTTTAAAAAATTTCCCAGAATAGCAAATTGTTTTTGCTTCCCACCAAAAATTGTGGATTCTCCAGGAAAATAACTGTGAAAATTGTAATACTGTGCATATATTAAGTATTTAAAAAATTGAAGGAGAAGTTACAAGATTTTGAAAACACTGTAATCGTACTGGTTCCTTTTCGCTAAATGAGATCCAAATGGTACTCTCAGCGGTGTAGTGTTTCATTATCAAAACTTTGAGAACAAAACTTCATAACAATGGTAGAAAACTGAAAAAAAATTATTCAAACCATTCATTTTCTACTGGAGATTTGGAATCTCAGGAGTGAAAACAAGCAATATGTAATTTTCGCATTCAATTTACATTTAAAGAGACTTACAGGATTATAAAATGTGATCCCCAATTTGTTAAGGAGAGGAATGGCGATGTCTTGCCTCCAAGTGGTGGGGTTGCACGATCCACCCAAAAACACATCATTTTTGGGTATTCCTTCTGTAAATAGATAAAAAAGAAATCATGGAACAAACATTGCATAATAAGATATTCAGCAAAACGGTAACTCGAGCTGAATATTTATCTTTTTTTTGACAATCTTAACTATTTGGTTAATTTTAAACTGGTTTGTTGGATGGTTTTCTTTTTTTCACTGGAATATTTTCTGCTAGTACTTGAGGATACTTAGCTCTTGTCGTTATCATGGTGACTATAGAATGAGGGGTTTTTTTGCAAGTTGAAAATGGTTGAAATAAATCAAGAGAAAAACGTATTTTAGAAGTTATCTGTACCTTCTGTGCTACTGGCAGTTTCAACTGGCGAGTGGTCAATGGATCTAACTCTCTCTTTCACAAGGGTTTCAGCAGCGGTGAAATAAAGAAAAGATCCAACAGAAAATAAAATGTGAAATGTTATAAACATACTTGACATTTTCCTTGCTTTCCTTTTTTTATGTGGACCATCTCTCTCTAGTAAGCGAGACAGCTGTGCAGGAAAGGGAACTCTGAAAAAAGAAACAATTATAAATTTAGCAAAGAGCAAAACAAAAATATGATACTTGATTATTCACGAGATACACGAGAAATTCAATCTTGAACAACACAATAACGAAGAGAAAAATAGCGAAGAGAGAAAGCATTTAAATGAGTCTAATGAAGACACATTAAAAATTCAGGTCAAAATTCGATGAAATCTTAAAAGTTGAGTGTAAAAAGAGAGGCTGCATTATGATTCATTGGTATTTTCAGCTTCTACTGGGGCAAGAGGCTAATTGGTCGACTTTTTTAGTTCTCTGATTCTGTCAGAGAACTTTGCCAGGAGTTTTTTTTCTATGGTTTATTTTTTTAAGAGAAAACCAAGCAACATAAACCCTTTAAACTTTGCGTGAATTATTTCTATGAAAATAAGGGTCATGCTCACGAAAGTTTGAGGCAGAATTGTCTAGTTTTCTCAGAAAAAAATTAACATGAGAGAAAATTATGTTACGTCCGACAGAGCTTTAGTTTAGCTCCTTCCTCCGAGGTTACAAAACGACATAAATGCATGAGAAAATATTGTAATCCTTCGTAGTAGCTGGAAAAAATCGGGCGTGCGTGTGCGCGCGTAAAAGTNCGCTCTTGGGATGCTTATGAGTTGTGGGATTGTTGAGAGTGAAAATTGGAATGGGTGCGCTGTTGTGGCGGGATGGGAGAGCGAGGGCGAGGGGGAGCCTTTGTATTTTTAGAGTGTGATTTCATAGCTCCTTTCCTCCCGAATGATCTCTATTTCTGAAGCTGTGCCTCGTGGATTCGTGAGATCATCCAGTTGCCTCCCCCTTACCCCTACACCAGCTCACCAGTCACCGGGCAGCTAACCGATGACTAAATTTATCGGAATTTGATTGTAAGAGATTTGAAACAGCATTCCTGGGAGTTCCTTGGACTCGGAGGGTGACTTTTTCTCCTCTAAGGGGAGTTTTCCTCATCTTGTTTTTTTTTTTTTTTTTTCAATTATAAAATTTCGTTAATTTTTCTCATTCCTGGGAGTTCCTTGGACTCAGAAGGTGGCTTTTTCTCCTCTGAGGGGAGTTTTTCTCATCTTGTTTCTCATCTTGTTTTTTTTTTCAATTATAAAATTTCATCTATTTTTTCTACTTCTTGGGAGTTCTTTGGACTCAGGATTTACCTACTTGCCGCCCATGGGCCGCCTGTATTTTGCCGCCCCTTCACATTCGTTTTGAAACATCGATACGAGCCATCAAGTAAACGTGCCGGAGGAATGGGGGTGCATAAGACGTGTTCACTCGTGTTGGGCACATTTTTGGTGAAATCCCTGTACACTAGCAAATGTTCACGGAACTTTACGCGAAAATTAAGTTCCGTAAACGTATCTCTGTGTGGACGAGACCTTTCATTTATACGAAAAGAACGAAAAAATTATGAAAGAATTAACATGAATGGGGTTTTATGATTTTAATTTCCACCACCGCGCCAACCGCACTGTTTGGCGCAATGCTTGAAGTATCCCTACAGTCTTGTAGGCGCTATGCGTTTCTGCTGACCGCACTGTTTTTGACGCAATGCGTGAAGTATTCATGCAGTCTTGTAGGCACTATACGTTTCACGCCAACCGCTGCTGACCGCACTACGTTTGACGCAGTGCGTGAAGTATTCATGGAGTATTGTAGGCGCTAATATGTGTTTCATGCTGACTGGCGCGCAGGGCTTCTCCTTTCCATCTCAAATCCTCGTCATCATTGCTCTCTGCGCCGCGCCGCTCCAGGCCAAATTGCATGCTTGGTTCCTCTCTCAACTAGACTAACGAAAGGCGGTGTTTCTTGTATCACCGAAAAACGAACAAATTAGAAATTACTATACTTTCACTTTCAGGAAATGAGAGATTTTTTCGTCTTTTCTCGTTTGTAATTTTTTTTTTTCTGAATCAGATTTTTTTCTTGATACCTACATTTGAAAAAATTACAGCATTTGCCGTCCCCTTTTGCCGCCATGGGCCGCGGCCAATGTGGCCATCCCCTTAATCCGGCCCTGGATCAAATTACGGACGAAATCTTCTTAAAATTGGAGAAGAAATTCACGAGTTTTCCTGGAAATTCGTGATTTTTCTAAGGAAATTTGGCAACGCCTGATGGCTCATACGGCGTCCTCATTTAGCACAGCAGAGCAGTGCTGGGTCTCGAAAATACGTAATTTTCTCTGGATTCGACAATGCGCCAGCTGAGATTGAAGCTGTCGAACTCAACAGCTAAGGCCAAGTGGATCGAGACATGCGTGATATATCTAGGCTAAATTAATATGGTAGCAGTGACGGTTTAGTTCGCTTTGGTTCAGGTGCCGCCTCTAAGTGATCCGATAAACAGTGCTCGACTGCTTACAATCTATGGAGATCGTACAAATTACGACACCACTCAGCCGAGAAACGAGGCGTTGGAGACAACATGATGTTCAGCGCTGAATTATCTTATTGACTCAAGTGTGAAAGCTCTATTTTTGATCCTCTGAACTTGCTTACTATCGGTTCTACAAGAACTGGAACTTGCAGAAGCTCCTATTGCCCTTCTTCATTCACTTGCTTTGAGACTTTCATCGGATTTTGGGGCACGGCTCGTTTGGCGGTTAGAAATGAAGTTTGTCCGGCTGCATGACATTTGCGCACATTTTCGTGCCGATAACGCTTGCGCACAATTGTACCGATAACGCTACTGCGCACAACGCACGATTTGGTAACGTCGTAGCAAACAAAAATTTATAGACTGAATAGAGAACAAGCTGAAGGACTAAATAAATAAAGTCGTAAATTAGCATTTAAGTAAAGGAGTAAGCAGAGACTGTAAAGAAGAAAACGTTTTGAATGAACTGAAAGATTAAAAAGGGGAAAAGAATGAGAAAAAAATAATTAAATTTTGTCACGCACTTGGTCTTTCAATTTGTTCTCTATTCGGTCTAAAATTCCGTATGGTATGGTACAATGTTGCCAACTAGTGTCTTGTCCGCAAACATGTCTTTCAATAAAAGTGCACAAACGTCAGACGTTATCTGCTCAGTGAATGTGCACGAACGATTTACATGTAGGTACCGGGCGGTGCACGGGCAAAGATACTCCCCCACTTTCTACACCGTATAGCTCTTTTGACGAAAGAGCGTACCTCTACTTGCATATGACCCCTGGAAATTATGGAGTTGTATGGACCCTAGGCCTCACAGGGAGATCGAGATACGCTCTTAGTCAGAGGAGCGACGATATTTCAAGTAGTGAATTAGTAGCATCAAAAAGACCATAGGATGGTAATTGATCATCATCTTTCCTGTTGATGTCTTAGGCTAGCTATGCAACTACAAGTATCAAACCGCTTAAAACATATTGGTTGTATAACTCCTTGGAAATAGTTTTTGAGTAAGTTTCCACTGAAAATGCACCACTTCTGTACAGTCATTGCATTTTTTCCATTTTCTCGAGCAGAAGGTGGGGGAAGGAGCTTCAATAGATACATGCAAGAAGGACAGAGAAGAACTCGGTACACTGAAATTTTCATAAAAGTAGAATAACTCGTGGGTAATTTCTTTCAGAAAGTGAAATGCATACATGTTTGTCGCTTTAAATATGGTGCTCTCTGGCACCTAACCACCGCAACCCTTTTCCAGTCCTTTCCTTTCCTTTACATTCCTTTTTCATTATTAAGAAATCTTTTTTATTATTTTGATTTTTATGTTTGCTGCTTCTCCAAGCATGTTTAAATACCTTTTCCATCAGGTTTCTGGTTTCATTCCGACTCTTTCGCTCCAATGCGACGAAACTTAACGTGACATTTCGAGGCTATCGTCCAATTGATATCCACTCGATGTATTGAAGGTCCATGACGTCACGAAAGGCATTTCTACTGAAGCTTATGCTCATGCACGTTATACGAGAGCGATGACAGCGTGGGGTTTCAACGGTAGAAAATCAATGCCGAAGCGGGGATCATTGACTATCGATATTTTCCCACATGAAATTATGGTAAAGAATCGATTATTAAGGTATACCCTGATAATCGATAGTTTCCCATAGGTTTAAATAGCAGATAAATCGATTCATCGAAGAGCAAGAGACGCGACTGTGCGGAATAGCGCGGGCGGGCGACGAAACGATTAAGCAAATGCTTAGAATGGACTGTTAGTAAACAAATCATGTTTTGCTTGGGTAGAGGAGTGCCATGCCACAGCAGCGGCCGTGGCTAAATTCGAATCTTGCCTCCTCCCCACCGCTATCCCCCACCTCAGACGAACGCAGTGTTTTGATCGGAGATCGAAAGAAATTAATGCATGATTTCTACGCCTCACATAGTATATACCGTACAGACTTATTGCTTTGAAATTGAATCGACTTATGCGAAAACGTCCGATGTCCAAGGCAAGAGGGCCGGATTCACCTACTTGCCGTCCGTGGGCCGCCTGTATTTTACCGCCCCCTTCTCATTCGTTTTGAAACATCACTAAAAACCATCAAGTGAACGTGCAGCGGGAGGGGTGCATAAGACGCGTTGACTATGTTGGACATATTTTTTGCGAAGCCCTGTCAACATTACCAGCAAAATTTCACGGAACTTTGCGCGAAAGTTAAGTTCCGTGAACCAGTCTCTGTGTGAACAAGGCCTTCCATTTACAAGAAATGAACGAAAAAATTATGAAAGAACAAACTGACCGCACTGTGTCTGACGCAATGCGTGAAGCATTCCTACAGTCAAATAGGCGCTGTGCGTTTCACACCGACCGCTTCTGAACGCACTGTGTTTTCACGCAATGCGGGAAGTATTCATGCAGTCTTGTAGGCGCTATGCGCTTCACGCCGATCCGACCGCTGCTGACCGCACTGTGTTTGACGCAATGCGTGAAGTATTCATGAAGTCTTGTAGGCGCTATGCGTTTCATGCCGACCGCCGCGCCGCTCCGTTCCAGGTTAAATTGCGTTTTTGGTTTCTCTCTCAACTCGGCTAATTAAAGGTGTTGTCTCTTGTATCACCGAAAGACGACAAAATTAGAAATTAGTATACTTTTACCCTCAGGAGATGAGAGATTCTGTCGCCTTTTCTCGTTTGTAATTTATTTTCTGAATCCGATTTTTCCTCTCTTTTTTTGATACCTACATTAAAAAAATTGCAAAATTTGCCGCCATGGGCCACGGCCCATTTGGCCATCCCCTTAATCCGGCCCTGCAAGACAGTGTTTCAGAATTTGAGTGGACAATTTTGTTGCAACTTATCGACACAAGATGGTTTAAGACGTTAGGGATGTAGAAAAATGTTATAAATAATCTCGTTAGTGTAATCAACCTGTTAATGTAATAATATCTGAAAGTGGGAGAAATCAGCTAACTGTAACACAGATTAGAGAATAGAGGAGTTACACCTAAAAAAAAAAAGTGACGGGCTATATAGACATGCCGTCTGTTCCGGGACAGATGCCGGAAGTTTCTGGAGCTGTAAAGCTTCGATTTCTTTGGGTGCTGCGCCCGGAACTTTCGGACTCTGAGCCCGGAATGCGGATGATCTGTCTACATATGTTATATCCCGTAAGTACGGCTTCTACGTGGCCGGAGTTTTTTTTCAGTGTAGTTACGAATCATTCAGCGCAAGGAATAAACCCAAACACTTCCAGAATTGGCCTTTCGGCATCAACAAACCACCGGGCATAGTATGACATTGAGAGCCACGAAGTAAGTTTCCAAATCGAAATTTCGCGTAGAATACGATATCCGAAACACAACTTCCCAAATGGGGCAGCGGTAAGGAACTTTGGTAGGGTTTTCACCCGTGCGTAAAATTTCGTGAGGGAAACCAAAAAGTTCGTTAGAAGCTTAAGAGACAATTTGGCAATACACATTGTGCGATAATTATTTCACTTGTTTACTCTTAGAACTAAAACTACAGAATCTATTTAGCCCCATATAAGGTAATATTTATAAGTGTACAGTCTGATCAGATTATGAAAACACAGCACGTCACGGAACAAATATTCCAGGGCGAGGAAAAATATTAGACAATCACGGTCACTTGTGAATGAATGAGACAGATTATGTTTTGCGTAATCAACTTGAAGAGGCTTGAATCAGAATGCTTGTTTTCGGTTGTAAGACAAAAGGAGGAGGAGGAAAATAATTTTAAACGGCGTCTCAGCTACTTGGTGAGAGAGTAAAAATTCTTTTGAGCATTTACTTATGGAGACTTGAAGACGGACACATCCGTCAAAATTGGAATTCTTTCCTGTTCTTGATATTGACACCACGTGTTATTTCGCGATTGAAGATAAAATTCTTTGTTGCGTTCCACAGGAAGTGAGATACTTAAAGGAATTTACTAATTACACAGAAATAAATAATAAAAATACTTAGTTTCCCATCTGCGATTCGATAAAACCGGGTCGGATTTTTCAGCGCGCAAGAACTTAGCATTATTGCTTGAAGTGACTTAAGGATAACAAATTCCTATTCACAAGATGACGTGTTTCTCATTACAGCAACGCGTGGTGAAACTGGTCGATAGGGAGAGGTTGGACATTACGTAGAGATTTTTAAGGCTTATATCTTCATTGATACAAAACATAAAAGTTCAAAAAAAGGTTCTCTTGGTCTCCTAGTAAAATTTGCTGGAAAAACAACCCCTAAAGTTAAAATGTGACGAGAAACCTAAAAAAAAAAAATTCATCATTTTAATCAAAAATTTCATGTCACAATTAGATCCCTCCCAATAGTTCGATCCATTGTGCGGCGAGAAGAAAGAACTGCAGACCGTATTCGATTGTGGTTCGATGTATCGTTTAGTTCAAAAAAATAGAACATAACCTCAAACAAAACAATTAGGATTTACTTAGGAAAAACTGAAAATGAGAAAATTCCTCACAATTTCACTATGCATTGGCATTTGGTACTCAAAAGAACAAAAAATCTATTTCAAAAGACCCGTTCCCTCAGATTTCTGAATTGACTTTTGAGGCTATTTTTATGTTTTGAACCAATCGATATCGATACAATCTCACCCGTTTGATGTATCGAATGGGATCTATTAGCTACAATCCATAAAACGAAATGTTTCATAAAATGAAACTCGAATAGGAGGGTGTGCTAACTTTTGACTAAGATGACACCATCTTCCAGATTATTATAGCAAACATTACTGAGCGAAAAAAAAGGGATTGGATGATTTCGACACAGCTGACCTAAATTGATGTTGTATGCTAACATATTGATACGGTGCACAGTGAAAAGAGTCTTTGGAGGAAGTCGAACAAGAAATTTTTGACAAACACGGTAAAATTTTACGTTTATCTCGTAGAACATTTTACGAGAAAACCAATGAAACTTCTTTTAAAGCATCAACATTTTATATCGATGAAAATATACGTTTTTCAAGTTTTTAAATCATGCCCGACTTCTCCCATTGACTCGATCCACTGTGCAGCGGTGCATCATTGATGCAGCACCAATTAGTTAGAAGAAAACTCCAATAAGTTGGAGTACAAGATCAATAATTTTGCCGTGTCGTACCGAAAAGTTGATGCACAACACCAATTTGGGTTAGCCGTGTTAACATTATCAAACCCTATTTTTATAAAGATTTTAAAGTTTAAGACAAAAAGAGACTTACCCTTTCTCATAGCATTTTTTAAACTCAGACGTGAAGGTACATAATTCGCTGAAAGTCAAGTAAAGGCCAGTGCTCCGTTTTCTACATTTTTGAACAGACTGAAGCATCTCATCCACTAGAAAAAAAGGACACGAAGGAATCAGTTAGACCCGAGATTCTGATAAAAAAAGTTCACATGCAAAATCATAACAAGAATACTGCCATTTCTGTGAAGGCAAGGTATTTTCAAGAAAAGATAAGTCTAAGGACAGGAATCAAATAGGAAGCCTTTAATCTTCCGGTAATTTTGAAACGGTTGCAGCGTGGCGCACAATACAACGTTTTCACAACGGCGCCTTGGAGCAACTATTCGTGTTCAATGGATGTGCGTGTTGCATGTAACATGATATGAAGGCGCTATGGCTATCTTCGAGCCATTAGCAACCCACGATGCCGTCTACCTTCCACACAACGTATGTGTCATTAGTTTATACATGCAGATAGGTGCGTTTATGGATAAGTCACAAATGTTAGTTTCTTATCGCGTGATAAAGTCCCTTTAAAGTCGTCTTCAAGAATATACCAGGAGACAAGGTACGGGTTTAAAGATTTTGGTCTGGAACTTATTTCTTCACCAACATTTCACGCAGAACACGATCCGTGCGACGAGAATTACTGAAACTATAAGTCTTTAACTATGCTATTTAGCGTTTTTTGATGCGTGAATTCATACATCCTACTTAGGAAAAGACAGAAATCTACGAGAGTCAAGTCACGCACTAAAACAGTCTCTGCGGTATGAAAAGATGCCGCATTCTCGATTTCGGCGCTTCGACTTCAATATTGCACATTATTAAAACTTTGAACGATAAACGGTGGGGAGGAAAAATTACTCTATCTATTGTACTGTACTCCATACTTTATACTCAACACGCATAAGCTTTTGTAGTGCGCGATTTGTTTCAAGTAGGCGATTGTTTTTCTTGCAAGCGGGGAATTAAAAATTATCGTGGCCTATGCACGCTAATATTGTTAATTGATATCTTAGTTAGGAGTTGGTTTCAGTAATTTACATTGCTCGAATCGTGTTCCGAGTAAAATTTTGCTTATGAAACACGTATCAGAATGCTTCAATCCGCAACTTGTCTGCAGGTTCATTATTACACTATGGTCCTTGAACTACGGGAAGTAACGATTGCAATTATTCATTCAAAAAAGACAGAAAATGAGCAGGAGGTCTTTGATCTTCCAGAAATACTTGAATCAGTGACACTTCGGTAGTAAATGAATGTGACAAACAGCAGGGGCACAGGCGCGGCGCACAATGGATCGAGTCAATTGGAGAGGTCGGACAAAATTCGGAAACTTTAAAAGGTCATAATTCCGTTCATACAAAACTTTGAGGATTTATAAGTGGTTCCCATAGGTTCTCGTAAATTATTCCTCTAGAAATACCCCTTAAATTTTAAAATTTGCCGAATTACCATCAAAATTTGCAATTTTAGTTAAAAAAGTCATGTCCGATCTCTCTGATTCAGTCCACTGTGCGGCGCGCGACGCGACGAATTCACAACGGCGCCTTGATGCAACTATTCGTGTTCGATGGATATGCGTGTTGCATGTAACATGAAATGAAGGCGCTCTGGCTATCCTGGAGCCATTCGCATCCTGCTCTGCCATGAAACTTTCGCACAGTTAAAAACTGGACGGCAGATATTTTTGTTTAGTGCAAAACTGCATCTCAAAATGAACCGAAGTTTTTGTTTTTTGAGAAATTTTACTTCTTATTTCTGCTTACGTTAGACTTCAAATTATTCTACTTTTAAAGTGAACCTACTTGCTACCTCCGGTGCCTTGCTCACATCTCAGCTTAAATCCCCATGCGATCCTTAGAAATCATCAATATAGATTATTTCAAGGGATTTCCATGGATTCTTCAAAAATTGTTGTAAAAAACATGGTCACGAAGCCTGAAACTTTGCCCTCTGTTACACTACTGAGATTTTCAAAAAAAATTGAGAAAGTCTATGGATGAGGATCTAGGTCTTGATTATAAGAAATTATCTACAAATAACTGAGGATAAACAAATCGAAAGAATGCAAAGCATTACAATGATCTAAAATTTCTCTGAGCGGGATAGATGCTTAAGTTTTCACTCCGGTATTGAGGAGCGTATTTTAAAATACGTATTGTTGGAATTTTTTGAATGATCTGACAAAATAATGAGGAAAAAAATGCAATTTAACGTTTGAATGTAGTTAAATTCAATGATCTCTCTTCATCTCTAATTAACTTCAATAGAGCAAAATGACCAAAAAACGTACCTTGTTCGGCCGAAGGATAGGATTGCAGTTCATGTAGAATGACCGCTAATTTTTCATACGGGACTTCGCTGAAAGCGGAGCCAAAGTTTTGGCTCCATGATTCTAGCGCCTCTCTGCAACAAACAAAAATTTCGCAATTATCAGACTGATTTTTGGTGATATACTGTTTTTCAAACGGACTATCGCATAATTATATGCTGAACAAATTATACAGAAAAAAAGAAAGAAAAAAAAGAAAATACATTCGACCTATATTGTATATAGCTGAAACAAAATTGATGGGATCGATGGAAAAAGTCAAAATGCACGGAAGTAAAAGACAGGCAAAATTGAAAATGATAATAAATGGACAATAAGCATGTGATACGTACACTTCATGTTCTTTGCAGTGAGATTGTACTGATTATTTTTAGACGTTGATGTTGTTTATTGACACTGTTCTTATAAACTAATAAAAAGTAGAATTTCCGAACATTTTTTGTTTTTATATCAAACATTATTATCGTTTAAATTATCCTTAGCTGGGATAATGAAGTGTCGTGAGGCAGTTGTAATGTTCGAATTTTTCATTTGAATTTTCGATGACATTTTTTTGAAACATCATTCTTTTAAAATTGTTGACAAAAAACACATCCAGTTCCAACATGCAGGTACAAAATCTGCCGCAAACATCGTATAGATTAAATAAAATTACGAAAACCTTTTAATTATGAAAACCTTCTGTGCAGTAGAAAAAAATTAGGAAACAGAGAATTCTTATGAAGATCCCAAATAATGAAAGAGTGAACTTAAACTTAAGTCATCTTGAGATGGTGGATGGAAATGCCCTCTTGATGAAGAAGGTACGCTTGGGTAAAATCGAAAGAAAATCCGTCGAAAGTACACAATCGTTTCCATTTCAGTTCCATTTCATACGATTCGGGAACCTTTCAGAGACAACTGAACTTCAACTTTTATGGAGTAAAATTTCAAAAAACTCAACTTACTCGACACGCCGACGCTTTGAATGAATGAACAGCGAGCTCATTTTTAAAAGTCGCGAATTGACGAGATGACATACGCTAACGTTAACAGCCAGGGTTCTGATGCAGTGATCTCAATCCAATATTGAACTCCAACGATGATGCATATGTTGTTACATTAATTGATAAAGAAATGCTACCGATACAGCTTAGGGATTTTACAATATCATTCCAACGATCATGATGGAACCAAATTCAATATACAAAAAGTTTTTGCAAATTTGATGCTAAGAACTACCCCCTTTATTTTACTTATAGCCAATTTCATTTCCTAATTCAAAGTCGTCCTTAGTGGAAGATAAGAAAAATTTTAACGGCAGGGATACTCCTTCTTATAAAAACGTAGATCACGAACAAAGTAGGGAGTTTAAGGTTAAATGACACTTGGAAACATTAGAGACTAGTACACGGATCTTGCTGACAGTGAATCGATTACACTAAGAAGATCTCTGATAAAAGAAAGTATTTCCGAGGTCAAGGATCATACGTGAAACAAGGTGATAACAATTTCGTTAGAATTTGGAGGCGTCGTGAAAGAGGTTGAAAATCTTCATAATAATCAAAATTCGCCTAATGCTGCAGTTAAGTGAGATGCGAAAGGTTTTGAATTCCGGCAAACACGAAGAATCAGAAACTCTGAGATCGCGAGAGAATTTACGCGGATCGGAAATCGGAATAGACGAGCGACTGGTTAGCTTAGCGAACGAAGACTGACTGCAATTTAAGCTGAGTCCGTCTAGATGGAGGGGCAAATTTTGCTGCAAGACGTCGGGAGCTCGTATCAAATTTTGCCACTTGAGCAGGATTACGTTTACGTACTCCAGTGATTCTTACAGAGCAAACAGAAATCTCAAGAGACAGCCTCAGCCGCGGGTAAACAACCTATCTTCGCTCTTCAGATGAGGACGATGAGATGCTACTCCCTTCGGTTTCAGCCTTGACGTCACTGTAGGATTTCTCCTTGGTCCAATCCAAACAAGTGTAATGTGTAGTTTTTCGCGGGAAAATCAACCTCAGTTCCCGTAAAATTCAAAAGAGTGTCATTGATACCGGCGGAGCTTCGAAAAAATGGTTCACCGAAGATTTTGGAATACTAGACACCAACAACTGGACGTATTTAAGCTAAAAGGGTGAGACAAATGGGGTGTACTTGTGCATGCTACATAGGAAATATTGTAAAATCTATGGATTGCAGTAACTGCATTACTGCACATAAATGTGTTCAAATGAGAAATGCCGCCTGATGACGCCACAAGGCGGCAGATTTTCTCACTTTTGAATGTATTTTCTACAATTTCCCAAATCAGAAAAAAGCACGAAAAGCTAAGCGAGCGCAGCTTTCAGAGGCAGAAATAAAACATATTCGTGCTTTTTCATAAATCAATCACCAAACGGCTGCAGGTCTAAAATAGTAGACCCGTGTTTAAAATGTACTGCAAAAGTGCAAAATTCTGAAGAAAAAGTCGCAAAAATCCCGTAAAAATCTATAGACTAAAAAGAAAGAAAACAACGCGCATTCATTTAAGCATGCAAGTTTTCTACTAGGTATGAGGTCGCCGAAATCACTTATTTGTCGCCAGAGCCAAGAGACCCCCCCCCCCCNNNNAAATTAGTATCTCAATGGCAACGGGTGAAAGCTTATACTTTCGGGACCCTAAAATTCACCCGTTGACTTACCTACTAAGTGGATGCTGAACAACGTGTTGGGTATATCGTATCGTATTCGTATCGTGTTCGGCAAATATACCGAAGTTTGGTAAACTTTTTTGGCTCAATACGTCACCCAAAGCGCATCATCCACCGAGTAGGTATGATAACTGTTGGTCCTATACGCAATTTTCCATATGGAAGTGTTGCATCCCAGAAAGTAAAAGTTTCCACTTGTCGCGGAAAGGCTAGTGGAGGGTCACTTGTGTCTGATCGTCGCGCAAAAGGGTAGCCATGAGAGCGCACGCGAAGAGTGGGGAGGAGAGTGGGGGCGAGAATGGATCAAAATAATCACATGACACCAATTTTAACACCCCTCAAAAGGTCGCTTTCTCGATGGATGAATGTCGCAAGCTTTGCGTCTCCCATCTCGTTGTGGAATTTGGTTCCGAGCCGAGGCGGAAAATTTGAAATGCAAATGAGTCTGCGACCGAAGCTGAATAAGATGACGTGAGATTTAATATTAGCTGGAATCCGAGGGAAATGAACCGATAACTCATGAATGCGAGCAGTGTGAGGACTTAGAAAATCAAAGCTCCCGACAGAGATTAAGGAAAGTTTTTACTTCTGTATTCGCCTATTCTTTTCATTCTACAACTCCTTGAACAAGGTCCTTACTATTGCCGTGCTAAAGAAGAACGCCATGTGAGCATCCTGCTGTTGCCAATTTTCCCCCGACGAAATAATAATTTTTGGGAAAGTCGAGCACATTTTTCCTTGAAATAATTTTCAGCTGTTTTGGAGTAAATTGAGGACAAAATTGTTTTAAAAATGGACCTGTTGCAAACTTTTGCTAGAGCAAAAATAAGAGTTGTTTCTTGTAGATAATGCCTCAAAAATCACGATGAGAGCGCATCGGCAAAGTCTGAAATGCACTCATAACTTCACAATCTGCGTAAGAAATTTGCGTTATTTTGAGCTTCCCGCTTCAAAAACGATACTACGGCACAGGTGAACATTTTGTTAGAGGAGTCGCTCCATCGTCGGCGATATTCATCATGGCCGACGCTTGCGCGCAGTTCCGCGCGTAATTCGAGGAGAGTTCAAGGTCAATCAATTCGGGCGTGGAAAATATGAACGTTAACACACCGATTGTTATCTGGTCTAATCCAGTTCAGATGTTATCTCGTCCCAACAAACGTGTTTTGGCGGATTGGCGTCGGCCATGATGATTATTGCCGACGATGGAACGACTCCTCTTACAAAATGTTCACCTGTGCCGTAGTATCGTTTTTGAAGCGGGAGGCTCAAAAAACCGCAAATTTCTTACGCAGACTGTGAAGTTATGAGTGCACCTCAGACTTTGCTGATGCGCTCATCGTGATTTTCGAGGCATTATCTATAAGAAACAACTCTTATTTTTGCTCTAGCAAAAGTTTGCAACAGGCCCATTGGAAGAAAAATATTTAGAATTTTCCCGGTAAATTCGTTTTTTTATTGAAGGAAATATGGCAACATCTGAAGGCTAATAAATTTTTTCTTACCACGGCAGAATGAGCAGGTGTGCTGGTTTGTCGCAATCGGTAGGAGCCCTTGTTGGTAATGGATGGGGAATTATACTTCTCGTTACTTGGTAAATCAAATCATGCTTTAAAGAAATCATCACTTGACTGAATAAAGGACAAAACTACAGACTACACTTATGATGAACTTGAGAAGGCATTGAGTTACATGGACGGCAGAGTCCATCACAGCGTGTGTCCTTATGTCGTCACCTTCCAGGCAAAGTATCACAAGCGCCATGCGACGTTTAAAAATTTCCGCCGCCATTTTATTTTTTTACAGAGAAATTGTTCAACGAAGCTGTCCGAAAATTTCACTGAATTTTCTTTGTGCTGCCGATAAAATTTAGTGAAATTTCCAAACAGATTCAACCAACAATTTCTCAGTAAAGAAATAAAATGGCGGCGGAAATTTTTAAACGTCGCATGGCGCTTGTGATACTTTGCCTGGAAGGTGACGATGTCAGAACGCCGAGGAAATCGTCGTTTTCCGCACGAAGAAACGTAACTCCATTCAATGGTTGCAAAATTGACTCAAACTATATTCCATTTTTTATAAGTGTACCTATGCAGTTTTTGTACAAAAAATTTCTGATTTTTGCATGAGATCAGAGGTGAATCAGTGACATTTTCAGTTGGAAATATTTGAGTTGTCCTGGTAAAAATTAAATTTCGAAGGAAAATTTGGCAAAATTGAAACATGGTTACGTTTTTTCGTGAGGAAAACGACGAAATATGACGGGAGGTATCAGAATGAGAAAGCTCTTCGAGTCGCGGAGAGCAACAATTTTGTTGGAAAATATTGTCCTTGAGGGGAATGGAGAGAACCACAAATTAAGCGAGACCAGCGTCAATGCCCCACAAATATGACTCAACCTATGA